GGGCGGGGCGTGGAGTAGGTTTCTTGGTGGGTGATAATGGAGTTCAGCTAGCCAGGAGCAAGTATGGGAGGAGTGTGCAGAGGGGCTCAGGGCCAACGCCCCGCAGGGACCCCGCCACGGAGACGTGAGGCGACGGGTCCGAGCTCGGGAACAAGTCACGGCTGGGAAAGCAGCTCCGGGGGTGAGCGCTGGGAATTGGAAACAGGCCCAGATGAGGTCACCTGGAAACGTGTAGAACTAGATTCCCAACAAAGGTGGGAGCCGGCCTGGGGCCTGGGCACGGGGGCCACTTTTATTTTCCAAAGAAGGTGGAATTAAATAGCGTTGAGAAACACAGTTGTCGGGTGAGGAAGGCTGCCAAAATCTGGGCGGTGGTGGCACGTGGGGGAAAGGCGCAGCAGCGGAGTTAGGACGCCGCGTTGCCAGGCACAGTGGAGGAATCGCGTCTTGACTGTATGGTGCGTGAACTTGCAAACCTCCGTCCTAACAGAGCCCAGGCTGGGGGACACAAGCCGACCGCAGCCAGCTCTCCTCAGCCGCTCCTTCAGAGTGACAGAGCTTTTCACATGAGTCAGGTGTAAGAACTTCAGGTGTGTGCTGTAATGTAATTATTGTATTTGTTCTGTTTTGGTCTTTGGATTCAAAACACCCAGGAGCACCTAAGCTAAGCTGGTGGGACTAAAAAGGGTGCAGAGGGAGGGGTGAAGTCAGAGATTTTAGGAGGGGGAACTGGTGGGGGCGGGAGGTTCCTGGAGTAGGTTTCTGGGTGGGTGATAATGTGATTCATCTGGGACGTCAAGAGGAAGCACGGGAGGGAGTGCATGAGCGATTTGGGGCCAGCGCAGCTCCGCGTCCTGACTATACAGCTAGGCGGGAAGGCCTGCCAGAGCCCACACAGCGTGGGTGGGAAGAAAGACGACCTCCTAGACTTCAAAAGCCCGGCAGTGTCAGGGGCCGTGAAAGAGAAGCCTGGTAGAGGCAGCTCTCAGATCTGGGATTTTAACTCCAAGACAATACGGAGCTCAGAAGGAAAACCACGAACAAGTCAGTAGAGTCCTGCCATCCTTGATCCCAGGAATGTTAAAACACTTTCTCCATGTAATCTCAGAGGAGGGTCATCATTCTTTGAAAATGATGAGCCATCATCTTTCTTTAAGGTTAAGACAGTACCTTTTAAAGAAGAGTGATGCTTTTCACATAAAGACTGATAACCAGACTCTCTTATACAGGGGCAGGCGGGGTTTTGGGTTCTGCCTCTCTGGCTTTCATAACTCTCAAGGAACAAGAGTCCACCTGACTGTAATGGTTCCCAACTCCAAGGGCACCATTTCTGGTCCCCAGTTCCTAACTGGAGAATATCTGCCTTTAAATCTTGAGAGTAATGACCAGTTTCCACATGCCACTGAGTTTCCATGAAGCCAGACGGGTGAATGAGCGATACAGCTGTTTTTGGCTGGTCTGTCTCCACCTCCCCTCACCTTTAACCTGAAAAGACCATGTACACTTCTGGAGAGAGAGAGGGTTCCTATTGGTGCGCTTTTGTTTTCCACAGACTGTAGAAGCCAATGTCAAGTTTTGTTAGTGAAGTGTACTTGAAGTTACCTAACCTAACCTAAAACAAGGTACCCAGTAAGAAACGTGCTGATCCTATGTGTAGCTGACCACCATCCATAAAAGCGCATATATCTTATACAGTCTTTTAGGGACCCTGGTGGGTTACAAATGAAGCAGAGAAAAATACTCCTCTGAAAACACTTGGACTTGATAAAAGGGATTTTTAAAAAAATGACTCAGGAGGCCCACCTTTGGTGCTCTTAGCAGAGACTGCAACAGCTAATAGTTCCAACCTCGCCTCTTGAGAAGGAAATGAAGTCAGCATAAAATGATCTCACCATCTTCATTAATTGTCCCATTTGGGATCAGACAGGACACTATATAATTTGTTACGCCTTTTCTGACTTCAGAAGGAGTTATTTTGATTACATAACACAATCGCTCTCCTTGTGAGCATGAGCTTGGTTCCCTGTAGATGTGTGGCCTTCAAAGGGCAGGTGACAGGCCTCGCCTGCGTTTGTCTTCAGGTTTTCTTGACATCCTGTTTTACGTGTGGTTAGATCAGCTGGTGAATCACATGGTGGTGTGCTGCTTCAAGTGACAGAAATACTCAAAGTAACCACACAGAGGAGCATCTCGAAGGTTTACGAAAACGCTGCTCAAGAACACGCTTTTTCTGTGGTTCAAATTCTTTTTATGAAAGAGCTGTGAGTGAGGGTGGCTGTCTGCAGAAGGCAAGCAGGTTTTCAGGAATTGGCCACACGTGCAAAGGAGACATCTCAACACCTACAGATCACATCTTGTAAAGCCCAGCCCACTGCAATTTTGGTTATGAAACAAAAAAAAAAAAAAAAGGACAGGATTCAAACACCAAAGGCCCCCTTCTCCTGGGCTGTGCATGGCTGTGATTGGAGGCTTCGTCCTAAGGTGAGGTGAGCTCACCTGCAAAGTGAGAGACCAGAAACCTCGGCTCGGTGCACATGGCACATGCCGTCCTGGGCACTGGTCGGCTTCAAGAGTTATTGAACTAGAAAGATTTTTAAATACAAGAAAATATTTCTCAAGAGAATGTAGTTTAATTACAATATAAATATTATTTTGCAACACAGGTTCTCAATCTCCCACTTCAGTAGGACATAAAAAAATAAAATAAAATATCCAGTCCGAGGACCCCTGAGTCTTTGAATCATGTTTCTAGAAACTAAGGGTATAAAAAGTTACTCACCCATACTCCTTCCTTCCCATAAGACCCCCGAATGAGGAATGGTTAGGAGTGGAGGGAGCTGTTGACTTTTCCCACTTCTTTAAGATCATTGAATGACTTTTCTGGTACTTGGGGATGTAATTACGATCCCAACCCCGGGAGAGATCCAGAAAAGACGGCTTGTGGGGACCACAGAGCTGGCCCCTGGCTGGGGAGCACCCTGGGGTCTGGAGAATGTCTGGGTGGAGCTGGACTCCAGCGGGGCCCCCAGGCCTCCTACCTCATGGGCCTCCTGCCCCCCGCACTTCCCAAGGCTATTGGGAGGACTCAAGGAGCAAAAAACAAAGTGCATTTACTATGCTAGAGAAGCTTCACTTGGCCCCACGCAATATATCCTAAACCAGCACTAACAGTTTCCGCTTGTGTAGGGATCAGCCATCCGTGGACGTTTCCAAAGCCAAACCAGCTGTGAGTGCTAAAACCCAACCCCAAACAAAACACAAACACAAGCCCGGAGAAGAGAGAGCCTTTGGCACAAGACAAGCCCCACACAGGCAGCGAGGGACACGACCAGTGGCCTTCCGGGCCCAAATTAAAGAATTTCAAACAGGTGAGGGGCACCTGCCGAAGTGCACACCTCTCACCACGCCCTGAGCCACGCGGCCGGCCGGTCCAGCCCTATCGGCTTCACTGGAGCAGGACTCCCCTGGTTCTTTCTGCTCAGTGCTTGGGTGTCTCACTGACGTCCAGGCCCACTGAGATCCCGTTCTTTGGGGGCAGAGCACAGGCAGCTGACATTTAAGAAAGACATTGAATATGCCCCTCAAAAAAGCAGAGGCCACGAAAAGAGCTGCTCAGACCTGGGCTGTACCGAGAAAACCCAGTGTCAGTGGAAAGACTGCTTTCAGCTGCCCCAACTCACTTCTCAGCATTTCTATTAAAAACACCTTTATGCCCCTGTAGTTTTAGAGTCTTTGTCTATAAGCAATAACTCCACACTGAGAAAGTCACGCCCGGTCTTTCCATGGTCCCTGACATGCAACCCTCACCGGCACGGAGCCCTTCTAAATGTGTATATGTGTATGTGTGTGTGTGTGTGTGTGTGTGTGTGTGTGTGTGTGTGTATATATATATATATATATATATATATATATATATATATAAAATCAGTATTGAGCGACTTGCAATAAAAATAATTAAACAAACAAACCTGTGTGGGGGAACATATCTTTGGTCAGCAAAGTCTGAGGAGGATCCCTCCTTACTCTGCAAAGTGGAAAACACTTTCCCCACTTCTCTGGTTTAGCCTCCTTTCCCGTCCACGCTGGTTAGAACAGATGCAGAAAAATCTGCCAGCAGGGGGCGTTGCTTTAGAAGTTAAGTGGTGTGTGTGTTAGGCTGTGATGTAAGCAGCCCGAGTGAAGGGACTGTGCGAGGGGTCGGGTTCTTCAAGGCGACAGGTCTTGGAAACGTCCTGCACAACCATAGCTGCGTCATGGCCTGGATCTGGGGGTTGCTTCCTGTTGTCGCCAAACATCTACCAAAATATTACTGTCTGTGAACCTTTATCACTGAACGGGCATCTGCAGTTATAATAACATGTTCTAGTTGCCTAATGAAGAGTCTCTACTTGACCTTTCCCTGATCGAGAGGGAAATAATTGGCTTTTTCAGTTTGATCTTTAAGCTCCAACCTCGCAGCATGAAATAGTCACACGTGTTAAGAAATACTGCCGTTTAATTTTTTAGTCATGTACTTTTAAAGAAAAGCTTTTATAATTTGATTTTTTTTCTCCATCTTCTCAGATCTGTCCCTATAGCTATTCATCTTAATTTTCCAAACACACGGGGATTTGTCCCCCATCCCTGGTGTGCACCCCCGAGGGTCACTGGGTGTCCAGAAATGTGAAAACAACCCTGTTACGCTTGCGGCTGACTTGATGCCCTCACATTCTTTTTTCCTGTGAGGAACAATGGATTATACAGCACTGAAAACAAGAAACACAAAAGGCTGGACTTTTTCTTTCTTTCTTGCCCTTCTAGCATATACTTCCATGCCTCTGTTGTCTACACCAGCTGACCCATTTATACCCGTTATCCATGATGAAAAATAGTTCTCTCGTCATTTACTGATCCTTACATTTAGGTACAAATGACAGACAGTAAAACTGCTGAAAATAAGATACAGTGTTCATCGATACAATACTTTTCAACTACAGGCATGTTGACACACAAACAATCGCTGTGTTGTATTAGAGACATTTTATTGAAAATGCGAAAATAGGAAATGTATTATAGCCTAAAATAAATTACATAACATATACAGTATATATTTATATCTTTAAAATATTTTTGTGTCTAGGTTCTTTCAGTCTAGGAATTTCGACGCAATCAAGAATTTGCTGAATTGTGTCCATAATTTTTTTTTTTAAAGAAAAAACCCGCTTTCCAAAACTTAGAAAAATATACTGCACTAAATGGTTTTCAAATGTGTCGTCTCCGGGAATATCACATAGTGACTCTGATATTGTTTATAAAATGTCTTGCTTTTTTATCTTGTGGGTGAGAGGGGAGTACACCTGGAATTACCTGTACCGCATGGTTATGACTGAGAATGGCAGAACCAGGCAATAAATCTACTTCAAAGGTTACGATACGGCAACCTGGCATTAGAATGCTAGATTATGACTTAAAGCTTCAGTTCACTTAAAAAAAACTAAAATGTAAAGTTAGAGTGCTCCATTTCCCTTGCTCTAGTGCCATCTTCAGGAAAAGTGAGTGGAAAAGCAAGCCTTCAGGGAAAGACGTGCGGAAGGTGGCTGACATTTGGAGAGACGCTTCTGTGACCACTTTAGGAGTTAGCTCGGGTATGTACACGGCGGGCGGGGCGGGTGGGGCGCTCACTCAGGTCCAGGGGCAAGGGGACGCCCGCTGGCTGCTCCCGTGCAGTCCGCCCCATCCTTCCTACAGGACATCGATTCCAGCCGTCCGCCCAGCGCCTTGTCAGATCATTCCTCAGGGAGCACGGCCACCGCAGGCTGCGGCCTGTCGCTGACCATCTGCACGTGTGCACTAGACAGCCGAGGACTCCACGGTGGGTGGCCACCAGGGTCACCTCACTTTGTACAGCCATGTCACTGCGAAGCCAATCAAAGGAAGCCAAGTTGTAACCTGTGAATTCTTAAGAGCGATGCAAAGGGAGAGGGTGAAGTCTGTGGCCAGCTGGGCCATGGTGGGCGGGAAGCGAGGGTCGGCACAGCCGCAGTCCTTTGGTTCCAAATGGAGATTGTGCGAGGGCGGGGGGCGGGGGGCACGGCTTGGACTACGAGGCAGCTAGGACTTTCGGGTTTTCGTGAAGCGGGGCGTGAAGTCAACTGTTTTGTTGGTTTGTACAAAGCAACGGCAGAGACCCTTCTCTAGGTCCCCGCCTGCGTGTGGGCATACCCAGTATGCCAGGGAGTTTACATGAAACCTTTACATCAAGGCCTCTTTCGTTACCAAAACCCAGACGGAACAAACGCAATGGGAGAGATGACGCTGCAGTCCCATCACCGCTGTCCCCGCAGTGCCCGTGCGCCCCGTGCCTTAGTCATTCTCTCGCATTTCCACGATGTCTGCCCCCTCCTCTGCTGGCGGTATGTCCGTCATGGCCGAGTCCTCCCCCTCAGCAGCAGACTCATTCTCCATCTTCTTTTTCTAGACCAAAGAAGACACATCAGTGTAGGCGGTGACAAGGACACACAGCAGAGCCAGGAGCAGGGGGAGGCCACTGGGGTCTCAGACCCGGAGCTTGTCAATGGTTGGGAGACCTCATTGAGGCTGCACCTTCGTTCAGCTCGCGCCTTGCCGTTTGGTCACCTGGCACTGTGCCGGGCACTTTGGGCGAGCCCGTCTCCCAACTCCCCGTCCCAGCGACCCTTCCCAGTGCCCTCTGGAACGCACTGTCAGCTGATGGCAACCTGCCTGCCCCGAGGACACCACTTCCCTGCAGCCCTTTCCTACAGGGGCGGGGCCGTGCTGTCCCCCTCCTCCCTGCCCGGGGCAGACCCTTGTTCCTGGGGCCGAGTGTGGGCCCTGACGTGGGGGGGTGTTCCTCCCTCTGGGCCAGTCCCAGGTTTGCTGCCATCCTCTCCCGCCCTGCTGTTGCCTGTCCTCATTCCCGGAGGCTGCACTGCCCGTCGCCTGTCTCGCGGTCAGTGTCTCTCAATGCCTTGGCCCTTCCTCCTCCGGGGATCAGGTTGTCCAGCCCCACCTCTGAAGCTCATGGGCTCAGTGGGGACCCTGTCACTACCAACACCTTCAGCACCACCCACACGCCAACTTCAGGGGTACCATCCGTCCTCCACCTCCCTCAGGACCCTGCCCTCTTCCGTCAGCTTAAATGAAATGCTCAGTAATTGTAACCACTTCCTTGCCCCTCTTTTCTTAATCATATTTGCCAGACAAAACCCCGACCTTGGTTAGGTCCAAATCTCCACCAATTTCAGCTGTCACCACCCGGCTGCCATGGCTGGGGGAGCCCACTTTGGTGTACCCCAGAGGTCTAGCCCTGCACCCCACTCTTCTCTACCCCCATGCACTCCCTGCTTCATCTTGTCCCTTCTCAGTTGAATGAATAATGTAAGATGGGGCACCTGCTCCCTGAGTATTCATAACATTTGAAAGGAAAGAAATATACCCCCAAATAATTAGATAATCCTGCAGTATAAACTAATTCTGTGCTAACAGATTTAGAGTATGTAAATACTCTGTGTGTGTGTGTGTGTGTGTGTGTGTGTGTGTGTGTGTGTGTATGTGTGTGTGTGTTGGTGGGGGTCAGGAAAGACTTCCTGCAGTGGGGTGGGAGCTGGGGTTGAAGAGGGGAAAGGATTTGTAGAGGCAAATGTGGGAGAGGCATCCTGACCATGCAACACTTTCTAGATTCCTTAGCGATCAAGTCTGGGTTTATAAGGACTTAGGGGAAGGACTTGGTTGCCAGGGGAACCACCTTTTCAGGATTTTCTTGCTTGGTCAAAACCATTATTTATTGTAGTTTCTACATTTTTTAATTCCTTAGAGGCAATATAGTAGGGTGCAGGATTGTAGACCTCAATTGTTTTTAGTTGTCTCTCTTGAGAAATACAACTGCCTTCTAAAGCAAGGCGGGTGTGAGGAATGACCTACATAAGAACGTAAAAAGGTCTCCCCTTCTTAGACCTGACCCAGGGCTGAGCAACTCTGGCGGTGAGGGCTGCTCACGTGCGGAGGGTCCCTGGAGTCATGGTGAGCAGTGCGGGCCCAGCTGAAGTATGGGACGAAGGTGAGGTATCCCCACCACTGTGGGCCGGCGGGGAGCGGCTCAGGTCTCCCTGCACCTGGGAGGAGGCTTGGCAGTCACAGCAGGTGCGCGTCTGTTGCCTGGTAAATATCTCACCTGTTTCCGATAGACGTAGCAGGCTGCTATGGCGACCATGGTGGATTCTCCCACAAACCCTGCGAGGAGGGAGCCGACGCCCAGGGTGGCTCCGTGTACCCTGGGGATGAGAACCCAAAAGCCATTTGTCATTAAAGCCAAGTTGAGGCACATACACAGTCAAATCGCAGCTGAAACCCAGGAAAGGTGTAGATAACAGAGGGGCCAATCACATTCGAGATCTGCACCTCATGGTCCACCTTCATGGGGAGGTCACATGGGACTCCAGGCAGAGCCATCTCCCACTCCCCGCTAGGTCTCAACTCAGCCTCCGCTGTTCAGGCCACTTCCCCTCACTCGTGAGCCTGCAGCACCGCCCAGCCCTCCTCTCCACACAATGTGGGTTTCCAAGTTGCAGGAAACGACTGACGCCCCGTCCCCAGGAGACTGGGAGCCATAGTAGGTGCTCCATGGTCATCGTGTGTGGGCCTGACCCCGAAAGTACTTTTCTAGAATGGATGTCAAGAGCCTCCCACCGAGTGCCGAGGTAGAGAACAAGACACGGCTCTGCATTTTGAATTCTAGATGTGCTTGGGGATGTCCCACGAAGAGGCAGATGTGAGCCTCTGGACAGAGCACTGAAGCGGCAGAAGGCCCACAGCCCCGCGCCTGCCGACCACATACCCCAGGTAGGGCAGGACCACGAGGCTGCTGATGAGGACGACGATGCGCAGCACGGAGCTGGGGGCCAGGACGAAGGTCTTCTTCAGCGTCATCAGCCAGCCGGTGAAATGGGCTCTCACAGTGACTACGGGGAGAGCACAGCACGTCAGCGCCGCCCGGCCGGTCCCAGTCCTGCAACCTCTCGCTTCCAGCTTCCGGCAGCACATGAGGGGTCCCCGGGCAGTGGGCTGGCGCCCAGGCCTTGCTGCCATTGCCCTGGGCGAGTCACGTCCCCTTCCTGCCAGGATCCTGGTCCCTGCTTCTGTCCCTGCCATGGCTCCCGCCTCCTCACAGCCCTTGGTGTCCACGCAGTGGGCTGTGGGCCGCCTCCTGCCTCCACTGTGACCACTGTTGCCCCTGAGGGCCCCGCCTGCTCCTGGGACGGTCCTTTCCACTCCTGCCACCCCCAGCCCCAAGCTCTGGGCATTCCTCTCTAGAAAACTGGGAGAAAAGAGGCAGCTGACGGGGACCCAGGCTGACGGTGGGCGAGAGGGTAAGCTGGGCCCGAAGCCCTCCCCACGAGCCCGGGGCGGCGTGGAGGCTGGCGGTCTCGGGAGGCAGGGTGCTGCTTTCGGCCATCGCCCGCGTTCCCTCCCAGCACTGTCTGACCACTCACACCGCGCTCATCCCCTCTCCTCCTTCCCCCAACAGCTGCCTGTCTTCCCGATACGCCGATGCTTCACAAAGACCTCGCCCTGTCCGCCGTCCGTGAAGCAGGAGGCCCGGGGACCGGGCCTGGGCGCGACGGAGGGCACCGGTGGGTACAGACTGAGTCTGGTTTTGGCAGAGCGCACACCTCGGTAAGAAGGGCCCTGAGGTCTAGGTTTGATCTGACACTGGAAGGGGGTTAAGGACGTGTCAGGCCCAGTCCTTTATCCCATGTGAGGCGGCAAAGGCCTTTTGAGGGGAAGGAAGTGTTCACGCCTGGGGTGAAAACTCAGGCCCGGGCTCCATCTGGAGGAAGCTGTGTTCCTGGTGTGACGGCGTGCCTGCTGGCCCCAGGGTGGAGCCTTGTATGTCGGAGGCACAGACACGTACTTGGGTTTGGTCGAGGGTGAGGGTGAGGGCCCACAGTGGAATGCTAACCTGGTCGGCCTAAACCTAGCAGGTTGCACAGATAGGTGGGGGCTGACTAGTCTGACAGGTGAGGAAGTGGAGACAAGAGGAGACTAAAGGGGGTCCCAGCCTGTCCCCGCTGGAGTTAGTTCTCCAGGACCTCCAGCTCCTCCTTGAGTGGAGACTGGGGAATGATGACAAGTGTCGTCCCCTCTAGGTGGTGTCACCTTCCAAAGCTGGGCTCCCCCGTGTTCCCCTGACAAAGTCTGTGCTCGTCTGTGCTTCCATTTCTGCCACAGCCAGGAAGGAGACACCCGAGAGGCCCAGCCTCCAGGACTGCTTGACATCTAAGAGCAGGGGCAGTTGTGGCCCGACTTGGGGACAGCACAGGGCTGGTGGGTGCACCACTGGCCTGGACCTGGACTACTCCACGGAACCATTTCCTAACCTAATTGTGGTTCTTCAGATTGTCGCATCTCAGCTGAATGATTTAGGTGGAATTTTTTGGCAATGCAATTTTTAACAGGTAACAACACGCACTCGGTACAGAACTAGAAAGGTGCGAAAGGGAACACAGTACAAAGGTCTTCCTCCCAGCCCTGACCCCGGGGCCCTGAGCCTGCGTCCTAATGTTAGCAGCTTGGTGAGTTACTTCTAGAAACAGTATGTAGACACACATGCACTGACTGTGAGCATGTTCCATACAGACACACACACATACATCTGTTACAGAAAAGGTAGCGTACTAGTCAGCCATCCTGCAACTGCTTTTCTCCTTTAATGAAAAACTGCCCCATTCTTTATGGCATACCTCGTACTACTCTACCGGTTTGGGGGTTTGCAACCTGGCTTATATTTAGTTCGGGGGGCTTTTCCTCTCTGGCCATATGCCAGCTGGACTCACTTCTGTCCCTAGATTCCTATCTCCAGCAGTGCCTCTCATTCTTTGTACATCTCCAGATTGTAGCATTCTACCTTCTTTTTTTCCCATTTTACTTCTTAAATGAACACACTGAAAAACTGACTTTTGAGCATACAGTTCTAAGAGTTCGAGGACAGGCATAGATGTGTGTAACTACCACTCAGTCAGGACACAGAGCAGTTTTCTCCCCCCACAGACTTCACACACTATCCCTTTGGGTCTTTCTTTTGACTGTGTTGGCAACCACTGTCCTTTAAAAAAAACAAATTATTCCTGTTTGATTCATTTCTTGAACTTTCAACCTCTCGGATAATGTCTTTGTGTCTTTGCAGCCCACTGTGAAATTTTACACTTTTGTTTGGGACACGATTGCAAACATTTCCAAAGAAAGAAGACTGAATCGGGCAGGCGGGTAAGGAGGACTTCGTCTTTCATTCTGGTTTTCTTTACCTGGCACTGGGAAGAAGGAGAAGATACGCAAAGGAACGACACAGAGTTCGGCGAAGGCGAAGTCCACTCCGATGATGTCTATCAGGATCTTCTCGGAAACGTTGGGGGTCCAGAACATCACGAAGCAGAGCTGGGTGGGGGGTGGGGGGAGACAGCAAGGATGTTAGGAAAAGGCATAAGCGAGTGGATGAGGAAGCCGGGCATTCCACGTCCCAGGAGCTCAGAACGAGGGCAGACGCGCCCAAGCAGGTGGCTGGCACACCAGTCCTTGAGCCACTGCCTGCCTTGCTGTCACCCGCCAACACAGGCCCTCCCAAGTCCATCGGCCACATCTGCCCAAGGGGACCCGGGCAGTGGGACAGATGTGGACGTATCTGAGTGGGTCGCCGGGCCCGTGAGGGAGACCAGGGTGCTCTCATGGAAGGCTTAATGGGGCTGCTGTGCCGCTCAGTCAGCTCAGGGAGGAGTGCTTACTAATGCAATTTTTATAGCGTAACCAAATAATACAGAGTGACCTGAAAGCATCTGGATGTGCGCAGAACCACACTGCATCAGCACACCCAATGAGAAAGGACATAGCAATACTTAGACTAATTATAGGCCTGGAAACTTTTTAAGGCCTGGTTAAGAGAACAGACAACAGCCATGAAACTGGGAACTTTGGGAAATGGTCAAGTGGAAGACCGACTGGGATTTTAAACCGACAGGGGGGATGGGAGCCAAAACCATGCCAGCTCCACCAGCTATTTCTCTCCCTTTCCTAAGATGCAAGAGGTTCGTCCCTAAAATGAAAGTGGATACATTATAAAATGAACTACAGCTGTGTAAAAACAGAGCACTGAAATTTTAGACTATAACACCGCTTAGGCTCTGGGTAAGTGTATCCTGGAATCAGGCTGGTCCTATTTACTATGTCAGGTTGACATATTATAGTTTTAAAAATACCTGGGAGGATCTATTATAAATACGCTTCACTTTATAAATGCAATGGAGCTTTTATTCTGTCATGAATTTTTCAGCATCTGGGAAGAAGATCCCACTGGTTTTCAAACATGACGGAAGTACTATCGTTTGTCCCAGTACTTACACCCTATCTTTGACATGAAGGGAAAAATACTTCCTTAGATGCAGCAACTCAGAGCTTCGAGACTTTATTACCTAGTGGCCTGGACAAGTGGCCCGGTCATCTTTGTCCCACTGCAAAGCCGCCAGCCTGAAAGGGTGTGATATGACTCACACCTACAGCCCAGGGATGGTGGCAATTTCACACGACAGCTTCAAAACGACACTGAGCACAGCATTGAGACACAATTCATTTCTCTGACAAGTATTTTCCATAGCAGTAAAGCTGTGAAGAATTAAGAGAAGTGACTACCGCCTCAAGGCTGCACCTGATTTGTGCCTTAGGACCCACAGAGGGGTAAGCCATCCTGTGTTTCCTCAAAGGTTGGAGACACCTAGGCCACATTTTGCTAAAAACGAAAGCTTCCATGGCAATCACTGTAACGCTGTATTTGATTTTTAGCCAGTGATTATCTGAATGTGAGATAATGCCTTATGTTGCAATCTCTCTGTGCTTTGCAAAATCACTGTAAAGTGGCTTGTAAGTTACAACAAAGCAAGGGAAAAGGAGGGTGTCACTGCGTGTCAGGGAGGATGGTGCAAGCAAGCGTCTGGGGGGCAAAGCCACGCAATTCCTCCCTCTGGCTTCTCCACATGGCTTTTTACTGCCTTGCAGGAGATGATCAGTCACTTCTGAGGGCGTCCAATGTGAGGACACAACGATAATGACTGGGCCCGAATCACTTGAGTATTTGTAACCTGGATGGGTGACCACAGTTCTGGTCCCTTGAAAACAAAATATTAAGGTTTGAAGGATCTCCAGTAGAGCTTCCCAGGAGTGGGGCTCGATATTTCATTTTTAAAATTCCACAGTATGATTTAACTTGGCATCACTAATAAACCACTCTGTTCACTATCTGATATCTATCTGTGCCAAACATGCCCTAAATGCCCCTAGCAGGACCAAAGACCACTGAGGCGCCTCTACAGAGCTCTCAGCCAGGCACACTGAGGGTGTAGGTTGGGTCTTCTGGAACAACGTAACTGAAAGCTGTCAGTCGGGGGCTCGAGCAATCACAGGTAAGTATTTCAAGGGGAGAAACACCGCATGCATCCTATAGAAGCTTCCTTTTTCTTCCTGAAGTCTCTGAATTCCACTGTCGGAAAAGGGCCAGGAGGGCCGTTTCCAGGCTCTCGGCCTCACGTGGGAAGGTGCTGGCTGCGTTATTAGATGGCCACCAGCTGTAACCAGTTGGCCATTAGCTACTATTTTGCATGTAACTGCTGCGGCTGTGTTAGCAAGCGCAGGTGTTTCGGATGCTACAGAGACTGCAGACCCTGCTTCCTGTGTCTCCCCAGCCGCCAGCGAGGCGGTGGCGCAGGAAGACCCCTTGTTGGGGTCTTGACGGATGTTTGCTTCTCGTGTCTCGACCAGCTGTCATCGAGAACATAATATAGTGGTATGAACCCCCTGCCTGTGGCTCCGTTGTTGTTCCTTTTCGGTCTCACCGAATTCTGCGTTCATCTGCCGGGAGCTGAGCCCCGGCATGACATCCACCCTTTGCCTCTGCCGGGCTTCCAGTGTGAAAATGCTCCTAGCCTTCTAGTAAGTTCCTAAAATAAAACAACGCCTATTTCCTGGATCGCCCAGTAGGTGTGGCGTTGGTTAAAAGCTGCACTGCCTATCTGCAGGTGAACTTGCCCCAAGAGAAGTATTGAGCCTGAGTACAATAATCAGACCCAATTTAACCAGCCTGTTTCAGAAAACAAGAAGCTTTTCGAAGTTAAACTAACAAAGAATATTTCAGGAAAAGTGTCATTCTAATGAGTTCACCCAGAGTAGTCTCGACTCAGGACATGCCCTCCCAGCTGACCACGACATACTGTGTTCCTCAAATATTTGCAGAGCCTAATGACATCGACTTTGCCAACCCAGAACACAAACCTAATAAACTACTGACAATGGACGTGATTTGTTCCTGAGAGCAGCTGCAGGGTTAGGTTTTCTGCTGCAGAGCGTGCTGTCAATATTATCTCATTAGGAAGCGGCCAGCAAAACAGAACAACCCACTCAGTGCCCAGCTTTGGTTTTTCTATTTATTCTCCAATGAAAGGAACCAGGGCTCCTTGGAGAAAAGGCTTATTCTAGGGCCAGGGCTGGAAATATACAAGATGAGCAGTCTGGAATAATATGTCAAAAGACACACGACCCCAGCAGAAAGAGCTCCCAATGGCCAAAGCTGGAACAATTTGAGCAACAAATACTGCAGTATTGAATTATGACCCACAGTATACAACACATACCCATGAGTCCGTATTGGCACAAGGAAACACAAAGGGACAAATCTCCTGCACAGAATTTCAACTAAGTTATGTAGGTACCCCGGCCCTTAGGGAGGTAGGACCGCCCTCCCCATTCAGAAGTGTGGGCTGTCCACAGTAACTTCCTTCCAAGGAGAGCACAGTATGGAAAAGGGGGAAAAAGAACCTTTACAGTGGAGCGACCTGGAAACACTGACCTCGGCCAGGTGGTCAAGGTCAACATCAGCAGGGATAAGTCATGTTTACAGCATGCACGCCTGATAAGACGTGATGAGAATGGTATTACCCACGTGGTCTTCCGCCCCCAAATCCAAAAGCCTCATCTAACCGTGAGAAACACCTCAGATAAACGCAGACTGGGGCACATTCTACACAACAGCTAACCAGTATTCCTTAAAACTGGCAAAGGCCAAAAAACGAGCAAAGTCTAAGCAACTCGCACAGATCAGAGGCAGCAAAGGAGACAAGCGGGTCATGTGGATGGGACTGGACAGAAAAAGGGCATGAGGAAAACGCTAGTGAAGTCTGGGTAAACCATGGCGTTTAGCTTGTAGTTCTGTGCCAGTGCTGGTTCCTCAGATGTGACAAACGAGTGAGGGTGAAGGGTACGTGAGACTCTGCGCCATCTTTACAACGCTTCTGTAAATCTAAAATAATCCCAAAACAAAAAGCTTATTGAAAAAGGAGACCAAAGAGCCACTCCTCTTTTATTTGACAGACTGTGATGCTTTTTCTCAGGAGAGGCACTGACCATGAAATTTCTACTTTAGAACTTTGAAACACTTTGTATTTCAAGACATCCTTATCTCCCGTAGGGCATAGTCCACTCCAGACGAAACTTCTACCTTCATGATCACTGGCATCATTCTCTCTTCTTTCATTGTATTAGCCTCTTTGGGAACTAACCGCCATTTGGGCCGCAGCCCTTTTATTCACAGCCTTCACACGCAGTTTCCGGTTAGTGTCTGTGTCACGGTCACACTTCTAATGATTGGTTGGGGAGATCAATGCGTAATTTTTAACATTTTCCTTAGAGGCAATCCATTAAGCAGGCTTTATCTGTCTGTAGTTGTTCTGTGTTGGGGGTAGTATTTAACCTTTCATTTCTAAATCCCTATAACAATGAGCTAAGTTGTGACAAAAGTTTTACCATCAATTAAGATCCCCAGAGGGGTATAGTGTGTTCTGAGGATGAGGAAGCCCTTAGCCTTACAGAAATAACACCCCTGGTCTAAGGTGCTAGCTACACAGTCTGAGTCAATGTGACTAGAACCACAGAAGGGACATCTTTCCCAAGACCTGTTTCCTCACACACAGTCAGTCCCTGACCTGCCCTGGGACAATCCGGGTCTCCCCAAAATTCTGGATTGGGATTTGAAGAAGCCCGTTGTCTCCATCAGCATTTGAACTCAGAGAAAAGACAAGCACAGCCATCTCTGTACATGCTGAGAGGATTCCACGCCAAAAAGGAACATTGCTAAGCGCGCTGGTTTTGACTTGGTTTCCAGAAGCTGCTGACCATGCTATTGAAGAACTCACAAAGCTGTGTCCATTACCCTGAATAATCAGGATTGGTGGTAAGTCAGAGGTTCTTGTCCCCCGCAGTTAGAACAAGTCAAACACATGCAGCTGTTTTGAATTAAAATAGCTGGCCCTAGGCATCATTTTTGTTTGGAGCTTTTACTTAGAAAGAAAGGTTCAACAGAAGTTTCATTGGGTTTAAGTCTCCACTGGGTAAACCAGTGGTTAACCCTCAACAATACCGCGCACAAAGATGTGGTTACAGCTTGGCTCTGAACTGTGTGTCTGGTGAGTAAGCTGATTTACATTCTGGTGCCAGCTCAGCGCATCTCAGACAACCAGACCACCAGCATGTCTGTGGCCTTCTGATCTTCACAAAATGCTTCTACCAGTGCTGGGCACAGTGAGTGTGATCAATTGATCTTAGCTATCATTATCGCCAAAGGGTTCCTGGGACAGTAATAAAATGCTGTCAGTGGAGTCATCTGTAGGTGGTAAGATTAAGATTGATTTTATTTTCCTTATTGTACTTTTCCCTGCTTTCCACAAAGAGCGTGTATTCCTTTGTGTGTGTGTGTGTGTGTGTGTGTGTGTGTGTGTGTGTGTGTGTGTGTGTATGTGTCAGAAAAGCATTTTAAAATAAAAGGGACCCCTGGAGCTGTCAATTTTAACATGTACTTAAGACAGGGATGACAGAAGTCTTGATTTAGAGGGATGGGCAGCTATCAGAGGGTGGCTGGCAGCTGGGTCATCACAGCCAGAGTCTTGGGAAATTACATCCCGTGTCACTCCATGCAGAAGGCACACGGATTTGATTTACTTGGAGGTGGAGTGGCCCAAACAAGGCAGGGCACTATCAGATAGCCCACATTCCTATCTAGCTTAAGCTTTCAGAGAGAGAGCTGATGTAGACCCAAGGAATGGCATTTGGCCTTTTGAGTCTTAGCATTAAATTGCATTGGCTGTATGTACTTTGCAGGGGTGGGATGGAATGGGGTGGGGTTGGTGAAGTGGGGGAGTTCATTAAGGGTTTTGTGGGTAATGGTCATGACACCAGCTTGTATTTCCAGAGAGATGGAGGCCACAGGGGGTTGTGAGTGGAGGAGTGATGTAATCAGATTGTCATTTTGTCAGGCTGCCCCAGCGCTGTGTGAGAACAGACTGTGAGGAGCCGGGGCAGAAGCGGGGAGCCCTGGCAGGGGGCTAACGTAACCATCCAGGGAGATGGCCTTGGACCAGAGGGAGGTGAGAAACGGTCACATTTGGAGGTATGATGTGACATGACGGGATGTGATGTGAGCACTGCTCTCTGCCTTCAGGCTGGAGGCCTGGCTGCTCTCTGGGGACCCGTCTGGCCTGTCCTCTCCTAGGTTTCTCACTCATTTGCTGACCACCACCTGAATGATGGGTCATTTCTAAGAGTCTTCCTAACGCTAACAGCGAGTTCATGAGAAGTCACCACCTCCCCAGTGGAATGACACAGCATTCCGTCAGGATGATTCTTAGAACCAGGGTAGGTCCCAATTTTGAAGAAAAAAAATATACCATTTCACTAGAGTGGAAATGCCTACTAAAGCAGCATCCATAATGTGTGAAAATGGCCCATGAGCCCACTCTCTGGGGAGCAGCATTAGACAGTGTGACAGGGAGCAAGCTTGCAGTAATCACCAGAGGGAATGGGGCCATTGTCCTGCAGAGCTGCGGGGCTTGGGTGGGGGTGGGGGGTGGGGTGAAAAGCCACTAGGGTCAGCAGGAAAAACCAAAGGACAGAATGTGATAGAGTGATGGAAGAGGGAGGGACCCTTCTGTGTAGGAGAATGTCAGAGGTAGGGAAAACCTTCTGAGGAAAAATCAGAGAGGAAAGGTGGGGAACTTTTTATGTCAGGTCAGGCTAGCAAAAATTTTATCAGGGAGCAACAGATGGAGTAAACTCCATCTAGCACTGAGAGAAACAGAGCTTGCTTTTCGGTTAAGCTGGGGAGCCTTGGATGAGCACATTACAGAGTTCTTATGTAGTACCTAGTATTCTCCATGTGGCTTGGCGACAGTCATAATTATTGTTACACTATCATCTATCTGGAATACTTTCACAGGGGAGTTGATGCAACCACTAACTGTTATAGCACATCTAATGGTAAAAAAACTCAGCGTTTTCAGATGTAGTTTTAGAAATAGTTACTTTTAAAGAATATGGAAACTAAATCGCCCCTACCATCCTTTAGATTTAACGAAACCGCCAAATACACACGCTGAATTAGAGCACGATCTAAGACGAAGCCAAATTCTTGGTAAGGCCAAGTATTAATTAAAAGCAACAATATACTTCAAACAGCAGGGGGCGCCATGCACCAAGCCTGCAGAGGGCGCTCCGGTTGTCAAACTCCTGCCCATTGCATCTACCTATAGAGTATTTAATTCGTAAGAATATTCTTACCCGATTTCAAGAATATTTGCAAAGTTCCAACCCCAGGTGAGTTCTTTAGGTTGCTCAGGTACGCGCCTCTCCTCACAAGGAGGCTGAGTGTTAGCCTTTACTTTGCCTTGACTGTGAATAGTCAAACTGGAACTAAGGTGTGGGTGGGCAGGTGCTGTTTAACGGGGCTAGAGTTTCAGCTCTGCAAGATGCAGAGTTAGTTCCGCAGGTGGATGGTGGTGATGGCGGCACAACAGTGTGAACTGCGGCGCTGTACACTGAGAAAAATGGTTCAGGGGCTTACGTTTTACGTTCGGTATATTTCACCACAATTAAAAATTTTTTTAAAAATTGAACTTGCTCACACCACCACCGTCGGCTCGTTCATTTGCTAATTGTTTGAAGAATGCACTGTGGGTCTGTACTGTCGTTGTAGTTTTGTGGACCGGTCTTAGTTGTTTTAATCTCCTCTGAGTTCCCCCAAACAAACCCCTCCAATCTACAATGAATAAAGACTCGAAAAGCAAACGCTGAACTATGGAAGCTTTCAACAGAAATAAGGGCAGAGGTTCGGCGGGAAGGAGCTAACCTCACCCGTCATTATGTACCAGCAGCTTCCCACGGGTTCCTTCATTTAATCTGCATAACAATCCCAGGATTGGGCACCGAAACCGAGGGGGACTGTGTGGCTTGCCCCAGGTCACCCTTCTGGTAAGGGTGGGGCAAGGATTGCACCCCAGCCTTGGGGACTCAGAAGCCTTGCTCCTTCCATATTTCTGAGACATCTAAAGGTGACCAAAGGGCAGCTGGTACACAGGACGCTCCCAGGGGATGCCAGATGAGAAAGTTTTGAATTCAGTTTATTTACCTTTGGTCCTGTTTGTCCTCCCCCTGTGCCCAAGAGAGTCATTTTCTGCTCCTGGATAATGTGAACAATGAGAAGGCAGTCTCGGGGTGCGGGGGCAGGGCCGCCCAGCAGAAACAAAGCCTGAAACAGGCTGTCCTTGTTGGAGACACAGGGTCAGCATGGCACCACGGCTGGAATAAGGCCTGTGGTGTCCGCTGCCCCGGATGGCTGAGTGACAGCTGGAGGGGCGGTTAAGCAACAGGAGCTGAGGCTGGGTGATTCTCACAAACTTTTAACTCTGGAAACAGCTGACTGGACAAGGTCCTGTGGGATAGTGGCTTTTCCATTTATCAGCTAGCATTCTGCAGCTTTCTAGCACACAACCGAAGCTCTCAGGACGGACATGCTTTATTGAGGTACGGCTCCGAATGATGGGACGCCATTAAGAAAAAGAGATTCTTGACGCGCTTATGGGATATTGAAATATGCTATCCCATGAAGCAGCAAACTAGAAGAATATGCCAACCAGAGCATTTGAGACCTTACCCACTACGCGTGGAGAGGAGCAGCTCAGCCTGAGCTTCAAGATGCAAAACTGGCCGTAAATGAAGAAAAGTCTCCTAACTGGGGAACCTGAGGCGGCGACAGGCAGTGCAGGGCCAGACTCCATGCCTGCGACTTGTCGGCAGGGCGTCTGTGTTCCCTGAGACTCTGCCTTTTTCTGCCAGCAGTGCCGCAGACAACCCGCTCAGACCTTGAGAGGAGCAGGTGGCCGAGGCCTGGGCGCTGGCAGGGATTAGGGGCGCTATAAATACAGACCTTTCAGTCACCTCAATGCCTTTCAAAGGTGGTGCCAGCTCTGGGGGGAGGGGATGGGGCAGAGTGGAGTTCCTGTTTATATCTTTGGGATTTGTGCTTTCTGAGGACTTATCTAGAGTGAACAGCATAAAACCTCACTAAAAGGGATTCATTATCTCAGTGTCACAGGAAATAACCTGACGGTGAGGATGTTTCTGACAGCTCCTTCTCTCACATCCAGCTTTTTGCTTTGTTTCTCAGCTGGGAGGGGCCCTCGGAGGCCTGAGATTCTGAAGCTTCAGGACTAAAAGGTTTTAAATACCGAACATCTTCTTAAATTCCGCAGTGGCCACCACCCCTTTAGTGACACCTGTTCTCCTCCTGACCTCAAGGGCACCCCGTGATTCCGGGCCTGATGTCTACAGGCCACTCTGTCACCTCCTCTTTCCAGCAGCCTCCAACCTCGTCCCTTCCGGACAAGGCTTGTTTCGGGAAGCTGGGGACCAGAACACCCTCAATGGACACAGTCTGATGGTCAAGGAGGAGGTGGCCGCTCACGTGTGGGAGAGTGATGGTGTCTCATCCAGGCCCTGCAGAGAGGGTGTCGAGAGGGAGATGGGCAGGCCGCTAGGGCACAGGTCTGGGTGCTTCCACCAAGAAGCCTGGGAGGGAGTAATCCAGAAAGGAAGAAGGAAAACCAGCAGAGGATAGAGTCACGGAAGCCAAGGAAAGGAGCAGCGGACGGGAAGGGAAGTGGGCTGCATCAAACCCCTGATAAGAGACTCGGACAGGGGTGCCCGGAGGTAAGGTGAGCTGGGGGCGGTGAGGCAGTCGGGGCCTCCGCAAGGTCTGTAAGGACTAACAAGCAATGGGGCCGGCGCAATCAGAAGAATGATGGAGGAAGGAAGGAGGGCCCCTTGGCTCCCTGAGGGAGGAGGCACGTGGCCTGGGGAGGGGACAGGTGGCAGTGGTCGGCAGCAGCGGGAAGGTGGGGAAAGGTGTCTTCAGGCAATTCTCTTAAGAAGTTCAAATGCTGAGGAGACGAGAAATGTAGGCTGCCTGCTGTATAGAGACATGATTTTTATGTGTTCTTTAGTTTTCTGTAAGGTTGGGCGTCTCGAGCATAGTTAAGCGTGGACAGCAAGGAGTGAGTTGGGCGAGGCTGACCCCAGGGAGAGAGGGAGGGATTGAGGCCAATTTCTGGGCACAGAGGAGGGATGGAGCCGTGCAGGTGGACGCCCACCAGGTGCCACTCAAGCACGGGACGGCGTGTCCACAGCGGTCACGGAAAGACCCGTGAGGGAGCGCCAGGCTGCTGGGCTCCTGGAGATCCTACGTACGTGTAAATGTGTCCCCTCAGGGGGACCTTCCCTGACTGTCCTGTCCAAGATGGCATCTCTCTCACCCTCTTTCCTTTTACTAAAATTTCCCTAAAGCATCTGTGACTCCCTATAGCAGGCTGCAGAACGGCCACCTAAGAGATATATTCACTCCCTAATTTCCAGAAGAAGTACTCAGTACCTTTTATGGTAACAGACGTGAGTAGATTAAGGCACTCGCAATGAGGTCAGCTGGGATTGTCTGGGGGGGCCTGGAACACCCTCACCAGGGTCCTTATCAGATGGAAGCAAGGGGAGAGTTAACGCAGGCACGAAGAGGGGGCGGCGGTGTGAAGACAGAGGCCGAGATGGGAGTCACGTGGCCACGGAATTTTGGCAGCCACCAGGAGCTGGAAGAGGCAAGGAACAGATTCTTCTCCAAAGCCACCGGAGGGAGCATGGCTGCTGAAACCTTCATTTCAGCCCAGTGAACTGAATTGTGACTTCTGGCGTCCAGAACTGTGAGAGTACATTTCTGTTGTTTTAAGCCACCAGGTTTGTGGTGATTTGTTACAGCAGGCATGGGAAACTACAACAGTACACCACCTAACCCCATGGTGTATGTTTATTGCCCTTCTGCTCTATGAGATTACAAATTCCGTAAGGAAAGAGACTGTTTCACTGTGGTAGTCCCAGGCCTGGGATATCACAGAGGCCCCAGCATTTGTTGAATGACTGCAGGGATAAATACGCAGGTGTTCTCTCTCTGGGGGGCTGTGCCTCTAATAGAGAATCCCCTAAAGCATGGTCGATCCCATTGAAAGTGACTGCTCCACTGCCCAGACTCTGCATAATGCGTCCATGTGTGGCTTAAAATCTTTCCTTCCTGGCATTTCTAATGTTTGGTTGCTGTGTGCAGAGATATCAGACATCTAGGTCAGAGGACTAAATATATCCCTTTCTCTCTTTCTGTGCTCACTGCAGCTTGTGGGTAACTGACATTTCAAATGAGCAAAACGACTGAAGGCTGGGATGAGCCCTGTCGGCACCTGGGGTTGGAGGCTATAAACAGGAAGGTGTGACAGGACATCTGAGAGCTTTCCCAAGCCTCGGGGAGAAAATGTGCACACATATGTGTCTTGTGTATGCGTGAGGTCCAACTATGGAAGGGGTGTACAAAAATACCAGGAGACTGATTTTTTTAAGCACCCCAAAAAAAAAAAATCCACAGAAATTTGTAAGGTACGTACACACACACACACACACACACACACAGACACACACACACGCGCGCACGCACGCACGCGCGCTTGTAGGTCAGACAATAAAGTTCATGAACTTTCCGCCATGTTATATATATATATGTATATATGCACACCTACATATATATGTATAACTATAGGTAGAAAATTCATAAAATTATTCATTAGCATCAATTATACCAATAGCTGTTTATTTACAGGTACAGCCATCTTTTCCTCACTCTGAAGCTCACGTGTCTGGGAACTTCAGATGAGGACAGCTGGGATTCTTTGCTTACAGCGTGCCTGGCACTATGTGAGCTACGAACCCTTTGAAAAGTCTTAAAAGGCGGGTCTGCTTATCATGCTGGGTGGCAGCTGGGGAAGCTGAGGCTCGCAGTTTTAAGGGAGCTTCCCAAAGCCAGCCAGGTGGTGAATGGTGGAGCCAGAATTTGAACCCAGGCCCTGGGGCTTCCGGGCCCACATCCATCAACACTGTGCTAATTCCCTTTCCTTTCACCCCTTTTATCACAAAAAACCATGAAGAGGGCAGTCAAGCGCCGTGAGAGCCCCAGGGTCATTCAGGGTATTTGAATCCGTCCCCGGTTCAGAGGTGCCAGCTGTGGCGTGTACACCACGATGCTCTAGAAACTTTTTTTTTTTTTTTTTGGTAAGGGTCAATTCACTCTTCAAGCCATATGGGTTAAGGGAGGATTAAAGACAGGCCCTCGAAAACCACCTGACACCTGATTAATGGTGAGCAGGTTTTCCTGGCACGATTATTGGCCACACGTGCTTTTTCTCAGCATCACACTCTGGTTCTTTGAGGCTTGCCCTGGGCTCAGAAGGTCCTTGAAAAGACCCCAGAATAATCTCATGGCGTAATTCAATGGTGGTGACTTCACGTGTATCTGACCCAGTGCTGGAAATGCAGTAATAAACCCATTAAAATAAAATAAAGAACATTTTCAACAAAGGCCACATATCAGTTAGCTAAAAGCAACTCTACTGTCCAGGTCACTTTCTGTCTGTTGGCAAGTGCAGGAGACCCCTAAGCGCTGGGAGACGTAAGCCAGGGAAATGCCTCCATGTGACCAGAGGCGCTTTTGATTTTCTTTTCTTTTTTTTGTTTTTTTGTTCCTGGGCCCAATGGTCTTTGGCTTCATTAAACATACAAAATGACCACCTGGCATGCCAATCAGATGTTTTATGTCCTCCCCATGGTCATTTTACACACTGTCTGATGTATAATACATGCGTCTGTTTAGTGTTTCTTGCCATATTTTGAGATAACTCACAAAAAATATTTTGAGATGTTTGATGTGGGCTTTGCTGACTCTCCACAAGCTGGAATGACACAAACCAATAGGACATGGAGAGTTTGTGGCCACCAGGACCGGACTTATGAGCACAGCCCACAGCACCTGGGCACGTGAGAGCAGGTGCTGAAACCGGAAAGCCACCACAGCCTTGTCATGATGGTCCCCAGGTCTTCTCGTGATCACAGTCAGGAGGGTCTGACTTAAGCCTCTGCTCAAGCTGGCGTCTGGTCCTACCGGATAATGTGCCCACCGGAAAAGAAGAAAAATACTCCCCAGACTGGTTCTGTCTTTAAGCTGAGATTAATACATATTTAATATATATTTAAAATATATATATTTTAAAGCCACAGAGTCATAAAATTGGATTCCTGGACATCTATGAGTTAATCCCCACTGAGTTACTGTGCCATCTGCGTGGCACAGCAGTTTGTCTCATCTACCTCCGATCAACCGCTTCTGCACCAGGAGAGACTCCAGGTGGACCCTGGGAACCACAGCCTTGGTGTGAGACTGGGGCCAGCACACGTGGCTCGTGCAGGATCCCGGGGACGAATACAGTGTCTTCCCGTGGTTCTTGTTCAGGTGGCAGCCCCACATGTTGTAGAATGCAGGGGTGTGCTGACACATTAAATGGAAGCTATGCAATTTTTATAATTTTGTGCCAAGTCACACATCATTTATAAGGTTCAAGTGGGAAGCAGTAGAAGGGATCAAGATTTTGAGAGAATTCGGGGGGGATAAATAACAACTGGATAAAATACTAGTGATTGAATTTGTTCCCTGAAAACTGGGGACATGTTTCGGCTTTTCAGTGTCAGTAGTGACAGTGGGTTCTGCAAGGGCCTGGCTGGGGTGCTCTGGATTATTCGACCAATGGAAAGCAGCATAGAAAAATCAAAAAACAAAGCGACTTAAATTGAGCACTGATACTTCCACTGGATGCTAGGATGCCAATAACACCCCCTTCTCCTCCCAAAACCATCTGCAAAGATAGAATTAAGCACATTAACATGGGTGCAATGCTGCACCACATGAAAAGTATTTCTAAGCAAGTCCTCTACTCACGTTCTCTCATGGAGAATCTGGAGATAAAACAAAAGAGATGTCTTATGGAGTCACTAAATAGAGAATTTAAAACAACAGTAGGTCAGTTGCATCGTTAGGTCTGGTTAATCAATCCACACGGCTGTAAGGTCCCTTTCTTTCAGAAACATCAGTGTATGAGTTTGCTAGGGCTGTGGTAACAAAGTCCCACAAACCGGGTGGTTGAGGACGACGGAAAGGGACTGTCTCACAGCTCTGGAGGCCAAAGCCGAGGTGCCGACGGGGCTCCCTCTGCAGGCCCAGGGAAGGGTCCGTTCAGGCCTCTCCTGGCTCTGGCAGCATACATCCAGTCTTCACACAGCGTCCTCCCTGGGTGCGTGTCCAAATACCCCCTTCTTATAAGAACCAGTCATACTGGGGGAGGGGTTCCCCTTCCTCGCTCACCAGGACCTCATCTTAACCCTCTTTCCAAACACGGCCACATTCCCAGGCTCTGGGGGCGAGGACTGCAACAGGGGAGGTTCTGGTGGACACGGTTGAACCCATGACAATCAGATGAGAAGGTTCAGGGTTGACCGCAGTCACACTTTCCCTTTTTACTAGCCACCGATGTCAAAACACAAGGCTTGGAAAAATCCAGAGTAAAATCTATTTTAACTTTTTTTAAAAGAACCAGATCCTTCAATAGCAACAGCCTCGGGCCTCGGATAACCTTGCGCCCTGTTGTGGGAGGCGCTGTAGTTCGATGGCACCCTGGCAGGCTGCCTCATCTCTCTGCCTGAGTGACAGCAACACACACACACACACACACACACACCACGCGGCCTCATTTGCCGACACTGAGGGAGGCCCGTGGGATGCCATCTGGAGGCCCTGGCACTGTCCAGTGACCTGGGCATCATCTGAACCTGAGGGCATAGAGCCTCCACGGGAGGAGCCTGGTGAGACCCCACCGTCACAGCTGCCTGCCCGAACAGGCCAGTTCTCCAAAAATCAGCCCATGTGGACAACAAATTGTCCAATTCACCGACTTCTTAAACACTGGTCTCTTTTAAACGTTTCTAAAGCCTACAGCAATTTGTACAGGAAGGATGGGCAGAGCCCTGGGGGGCTGTGAGGGCTCCGGCGTGTCCTCCCCATCTGTCTGACCCACCTCTGTCTTTCTGCTCCGTCTTCCTGACTCTCAACCTCCCCTTTCTTTTTCCGTCCCCTAGTCTCCCCACTTCTCCTTTGACCTGTGCGCAACTCCCTGACATCCCAGCTCTCCCACTTCCCTGATCCTGGCTCTTCTGACTTCCTCTGGGTTCAGCATCCAGCGCGTGCTGGGTATGGCTGTGCAGGATGTGCACTGCACAAAAGCGCCCTGCCAGCTCTGCTCGCCAACATCCATCTGGATGCCCATTTCCATTTTGTAAAAAGGGGGTTGGGGAGGCCTCCACATCAGCCATGCCTGTGCTTTGTATCCATTCTTCTCCACCTCTCTTGTCGCAGAGGGGCCCCCTCTATCTTGGCAACAGCTCCCCAAAACTACAGCAGCAGGGAACTTAAGAAAACACCAAATGTTCTTAAAATGTCACCGCAAAGTCAAAATGGAAACTGGTCAACTAAAATCATCCAAAGCTGTTAAATCTTCCCCATTTAATATGATTTGCTATAAACTTTAGAGAGAATTAAAAAAAAAATAACATGCTTGGGATAAGTTGGCAAGTTTGGTAAATTTCGCTCCGCTGCCTTGCCAAGCTGGCCCTGGGGCACACTTCTTCCTCACCAAAAGGACTGTTGAGAAGACACGTCCCACCCTGGTTCCTGGTTTCTGTTTTACCCCAAATCTGGAATCCAGGAGGAAGTCATGCTAAATCCCAGGGTTCCTCAGAGGTTGAGTTTCTGTAAGTTTAGCGTCCCCAGCTCCTGTCCCCAACAGGAAGGAATGCTGTTTCCGACTCCTTAGCGCAAGTTCATCCCCTCCATCCTCTGTCTGTGATCTCAGTGATTATCTACTAAAAAAACGCGGCCTTTTCAGAGCCATACTCATTATCGCCGTGCTTTCCAGTCAGTCACGTAAGCGATGGAGGTCATGGCTCTGCTGGGAGGCTCAGGGGGAAAACTGGCCGCTTGCTTCTGACCCCAGCGCCCACAGCAGCCTGGCTCCTTGTGATGCTGCCTTCTCCCAGCGGCTGCGTGCTGGCCGGCAGGGTTTCCTCCCCTGCGTGGCGGCCACACCACGAGCTCCCTCAGTGCAGCGTGCCATTTGCAGATGTGCTTCCAAAATCGATTTCAATTGCATCTACTTTCAACTCTGTGTGCCTTCATCCCACACAGCAGCTTCTGCATCTGCAGTCACCTGGCTAGACCCTGGTTTGCATTATGTCCCCCCTTCTTTGTTGCTATTGGGGAATTAATGTTCATCTGACAATTCTACCATTTTGAAGCTAATCTTCAGATAGACTAAAGCTGGCAAGTGTGGCAAGTTTGGCAAGCTGGTCCGCAGGCTTCCCAAGACGGCCCTGTGTCAGGGACAAGGAGGCCCCTGACCGCCTTTCCTCGTCCTCGCTCCCGTCGGGTGGTCTAGGAAATCAACCAGCACTTGGCCCAGCATTAGTCATGGCAGCTGGAAGGACTGAAGGCAAGACGCTAATAGGAAAACATTCCTTTTCTACTCTACACTAAATCCACCTCCCCTTCCAAATGGCCAGAAGACATTTGCCACTTTTCTTAAAACCCAGTGGTTCAAAACTCCTGGATAAGAAAGAATATGGAGGCAGGACCAACTTTTGGTGTAGGACAGGCATCCTACATTTAAATTGAAAATCTAGACTAGGGAATAAATAAATACGTGCGTTGTAGCATGCTGAAATGCTAGTCTCTTCTTAACTGTCCAAAGTGACACAGCCGTCATTTTCACAGGCAAAGAAAGGCGGAGGTTTAACTCTCAATATCAGGGTCTGAAGCGTGAGCCGTTCTGACGGAAAGACAAATGTTTGTTCTGGACAGCACATGTTTTTCTTCTTTTTTCTTTTTGTTTTTCTTTATTATTATTATTATTAGTTTCAGGTGTACAAAACAATGCAATCGTTATCCTTTTCAACACATGTTTTTCTTTGAGTGTCTGCGGAATCCGTGGGGCCAACTCTTCTCAGGGGCCCAGGGAAAAAGAAACAGCAAGCTTGCCCCAAGAAGTAGCCCCAAAGGGCGCTAGTCCTCAGAGATGCACAGAAAGCTGAGGACCCTTCGGGAAGCGCGTCTTCTGTCCTGACTATCATCCACCGGAATAAACACGAAGGGTTCTGCTCTGGGGTGTTTCCATGACCCTTGACACATTAATTTCCTGACATTAAGAAGTTATAAAATTAAAAAAATGAAAACAGACTCCAGAGTAAAAAGCCTCTTAACATCTTGAAAAATAGGATTAAAATGAATCTAAATAAGGAGATTGTCACTCACCAGGGTGGGTGCCATGGTACCTTTCTGATCTTTATCTCACAGTTAAGTATTAATTAATTCATGTATTTATTAACTACTTATTGTGCACCTTCTGTGTCAGGCAGGCTGTTAGGTCCTGGGGATAAAAGGTGACCAAGTCACAGACCCTGTTTTTGGGAAGTTCCCAGCCCATAAGGAGTAATAGATGTAAAAAACCGAATATGGTGAAGTGCCATAAAAGGTATGTACACATTGGGGCCAGCCGAGTGGCTCAGTTGGTTAAGAGCTCGCTCAAGAGTTTGAGCTCTGAGCAAGAGCGGTTCAAGTCCCAGCCCGAGCTGAGCTGCCAACAGGTGGCAGGACGGCTCAGCTAAAAACAAACAAACAAACAAAAAAAACGTATGTACACATTACAGCGACAGCTTAACATTTAATTTAGAAAACAAAAAACCCTTTCATTTCTTTTCTATGCATCTTTTAACCACAATTCCTTTAGTCGAGATGTTGGGCCAATTACCTGAATTATTATAAGTGTGATGTATGTGAGACACTTCATAAGCTGCAAACTCAAATACCACTGTTTTCAATGTTGACGAAACCATGGTTTCAAATATGGTGGCAAGTGCCCCAGGCTGGAGCCTGGGCCAGACATCTGTTTCTGCTCCCAGGCAACAGGGCCCTGGAGATGAGCCTGCAGGGCTGGCTTCTAGCTGGTTCTATCACTGGGTCCTTGGGCAAGTCACTTACCCTCTCTGAGTCATTTCCTTTCCTAAACTATGATGGGTCTTGACTAGTTCACCTCCAAGTTCTTTTCCAACAAAGGACTCTGAGTCTCTATTTCTGTGGTGGACAGCTACCCTGAGATACTTCTTGTTAGGGATGATAGGATTAGAATAATTAAATAAATCAAACCTCTCCATGGGAAACCCAAACCTTTTTCTAGATCTCATGTAGCGATCATGTCAAAGTAAACCAGTTGTCCTTGTTTTAGAAGTACAGATGACTGCCCGTGAGCTGAAGGAGAAGGCATATCCTTAAACCCAATCTGGTCAAGTTCTCCCCTGATCGGACTCACCTGTCGCGGTGGGCAGATGTGTTAATGGAGGGAAAGGTTGCAGAGCCCGTAACAACCCAACACTTCTAGATTTCTATGCGGATGAGGTCCAAGTCACAGAACCTGGCATTCAAGTCAACTCAGCTTTCGACTTCCAGTCATTTAACATGTTCTCCAAAAGCTGAGGTCTGTTCCTGGAATAAAAACCTTCTCCCTGTTTCCTAAAATACTCTTTTAAACAGTTTCAAGGTTGTTCACTGTTTTGCTAATATTTTAGGGAGTTATGGAAAAACTTGCACACCATAGAGAGAAATAATAATGTAAGCAGGGGAGCAGGATTACCCGGGGTAACCTGTCTCGACTCCAACAGGCACGCTACCAGAAATTCCTGCTAGGTCACTGTTTCCATCCCCGTCTCCACATGGTTCATAAAGGATGGACCGGATTGGGGGGGCGGGGTTAGGGTGACGGGTGGCTGAGGACATAAGGTCACGACTGGGTGTCAGAGGTGTTATGTGATGGGCTATTTGTCTCATGCTGCCCTTGCTACAGTCCTTTCAGGGTTTGGATCAATGGATCAAATATTAAGCTGTGGGCTTTGAAAAATACCCATTAAATGTTTAACACATACAGAGCTTGATTTTAAAGGACTACTGCCAGGATTTGTCAAGCTAAATAGTTCTTGTGATAATGGTAAGAAGGACAACAGTGGCTGTGTCCCTGTCACCAGTGTAACCCAACCCCTTTTACTGCCTCAGGTCCCTGCTATCAGTCACTTATGAAGAGAACTGCACACACCCAGGCATTTCTGAAACATACTTATATTGTACAAGAGAAACGCAGAATTTCTACAGGACTTAACAGGAAACGTGTAACCACCACAACAAAACAAGAAAAACTGAACTGAGTTCAAAAGACCTGGATTTCTTTTTATCCTCTCCTCATCTCCACCTTTAAGACCCAAAGGGAGCAGTCTACAATGCCAGTTTGTTTATAGATGTTATGCGTTTTTTTTTCTACTATTGATGTGTTATGAATGACCTGAAATTATATACCAAGTGCTTTAAATAATACAGCGTGTAAGTATTTTTCTCCATGTTTTTTGAACATTTGAATTATTCATGGGAGTTGATAAAGGAAGGACGTGTGCTGTTTACTGAAGGCTGTGCAAAGGCACCAACAGGCCCTGTCAGCAGCGCAGTGGGACCCACACCTGTTCACACCTGTGAAGATGGCACAGAGCCTAGGACGCAGTGGGTGCCCATAAGTGCGTGCTGAATAGTGAATAAGTAAGGAGGAGACACCGGCGTCATTGTAATTAGGAAAGGAACTTTCCCCGGGAAAACTGAAATATCACCAATTAAATTTGGAAAAGGGACAGGGATGGTAATACAGTTGACTCTGGATGTTCAAAGATGGGCTGGAAATTATTCAGCAAGACAAGAGTATTGTTAAAATTAATGGCAAAGTCAGCCTTTCTTCAGCATTTACGAAGTCCCGAGGAACGCCAGAAGTCGACCCTTTGTTCCTAGATGCAATAACCTCCTTGAATAGCAATCACTCATATTTTGGGATCAAACTGTTCTGAAGAGGTTGTTCATTAACCTAGTACAGCATCGCATTATGCAATACAAGACGTCTCCCTTTAAAAGAACCATCAAAATTCGCCTTTTCCAAAAACACGAACAGGGTGGGGGCTGGTCTCTCTCCTTACCGTTAGCGACAAGGCCATGCACACGAATGTGAACTTCTTGATGTGGGCCGCTGTGACCGTGCTGCTTGTGCTCACCAGTTTATTGCTGGGGTTATTCTAGAAGGGAAAAAGACGACACTGGTGACTGGGCTCTAGGTTATCCTTGTCATCCCCTCCCTTTGGTGCTCACCTAGCCTAGTCCAGGGCCTTGGCCCACAAGTCCCCTCCTGACCACTGTGGGCATCTCCCTGAATGCCATGGCCCTGCTCTGCGACGCTTGGGCCTTCTCCCATCCACTAAATGGACTGAGCTGGAGTGGGCACTCAAGGCCTTGCTTGCCCTCACCCAGACTCACATCCCTGCCATGGCTTCTCAAACTGAATCCCGAAGGAAACCTCTTGCTCTCCTAACACACTTGGTGCTTCCATGTTTCTGTGCCTTTGTTCTTCCTTCTCTCATTGGATCTTCTAATCGCCTAAAACATCCCTTTCTTTAAGGCACACCATCTTACTGTCCATCTCATCCTGAAAGCCTCTTTGATCTTTTTCCCTCCGAACTGCCTCTGGGTCCCTTCCTGCAATGCCGACCACCGGGAGCTCTCTGAAGGCAGGTCCGGCGTCCTGGCCTCTTTTCAGTAGCCCGTGTCAAAGCCCCTATGAGGTGTGGGCTTGCTCTCTGAGATAAAGGACTGTGTATCTCACCCATCTCTTTAGCTCTTGCAACTTAGCACAATCTTTCCTGAGTAGAGAAGGTGCTCAAAAGCCTTTGTTAAACTGAATTTGAGCAAATGATGCAGAAGGCTCAGCTGTCCTCCTCCACATCCCTGAATCTGAGGCTTGCTGAAGCCAGCCCAGTGCCACTGCTAAGTGTGCCCATCACCCAGTGTAAATGAGTGCCTGGCCCTCGATTCTGAAATCCAGCAGCGAAACATAACCCCTGCCTTGTTATGGACCCAATTGGTCCCAGAGCTGACTAATGAAGATGTATCTCGAGCACGTGGCTCCCGCGTCCAGCCTATAGAAGCAGAGATACTACAGGTTCCACTCGGAAAAGAACTTTTGATGTTTCCTTGACTTTGCAGCCTAAGGCAACCTCTCCAATCCCTTCCCCCTGCAGATGCCACCTGCACAAACTCTGGGTGAGCTTACATTTCATTTCCAGTCTCTAAAGCATATCTACTTTTCTGAATGACAGACTGTCATGGCAGTGGGTGGGACACCTGCCTGTCTCCTGTCACCCCAGGCATCTGTGAGAATGGTGCCCTGGTGGTGGGCTGAGGGAGAAGGTGGCTCCACTGGAAAGAATTAGGCAACCTCAAAACACACACGCCTCCCATGGTGACAGGAACGTGCACACTCCATTGGGTGCACTTTTATTTTTAAAATAGTAAATATTTCTGCACATATGGCTGGAATAAACCAGCATGCGTCATGAGATTGGCATCTGCCTTTCATGTCGTCTGCCCAATCTGCTTAGAAATACACCCCTGCACAGACCATAACTGCGCAGTAGAGAGAATCTGTACTAGCGGAAAACTCTCCCAATTCAATATTTAGCTAGAACCATCAGAAGCTATGTGAGGAATGTGAATCCATTCAGGAACCCACAAAGAGGCTGAGGATTTCGGCTGTCAGTGCAGCACATTCTGGAATTCCACACGGAGGTGTCTCAGATTTGGGTGAATAGATGCCTTCACAGAAGTGGCTGAAAGTAGCTCAGTGGACCGCTTGGGAGAATGGATGAGGTTTCAAAGGGGTTCTGAGTAACTCCAGTCTCTGGCTAGAGGTACACTTGTTAACGGAATTTTCTACCCTCTGTGATCATGAATACAAAGTTTTTTCTTGGATGCTCCTAGCAAAACTGTGTAGTGTTGTATTGTTAAATTTTTGGATTTCAAGGTAGTCACCAACAATTTCAGATGAGGCTTTCACGGCCAAATGGTTCTAACACTTTAGTACTTGCTCTTCTCATCAAGTTTTATTATACAGTCTCAATCTCCGAGAGCCAGAAATTTAGCAAGAAGACTTCGATCCATTTTGGTTTTCTAGGATTTGCTTCTCTACACATGTTCTTTGAAATGAAAACACTGGTTCCTCTCCGTCGACTAGATGAAGCCTACTCGGACACGGGCTGTCAGCTTTCTCCTGCAGGTGCTCATGCTCCTGAGGTCCACTCTCCAAGGCCTGTGAAGCAGCAATCAGCAACCTGATGTTGCCAGCGAATGTCTGCAACAGGTGGAGGGGCTCCGTTAGGCGGTGTGGTGGCAATCCCCAAAAGTGTCCTGAGGTGATTTACTCTTCATGGGCAATTACGGGTGTGGGGATGGAGGCAGCGGTTCTGCGGGAGGACAGGCTTCCACGCCTCGCCTCCCAGGGCTCTTATTGGGATAAGATAAAATTCTATGGGCAATGGTGCTGAGCTAGTTCTATAGAAATTCAAGGCCAAACAGGTAAGAGTACAATTCAGAGTACAACTGGCGGATTGTGTGCTTCTCTCCTATTTTTTAATTTCAAACCTGCACACTGTCTTTTCGGGGGTCTGTTTTGCTAGTCATTTGTTTTAGGAGAAAAGGCTACAGGTTCAAATAATTAATCTTTAACGCAATAGACATTTACTGATTGGCAGGATGGTCCCGACCCAGCCAAAGGCTCCAGGTGTGAAGGGTTATGTGCCTCCCCGGCTGTGTCAGCAGCTGCGGGAGGACAGGGCTGCTGTTACCCGAGACTTTCAGCTGTAACAAGTCGGCTGCCTCCGCCCGACCTGCACGCAGGCTTGCAGCACTGACAAGCTCAGTGGGCACGTACCCCGCACACCGAAAGACGTCCATAAGCTTATGACCTCAAGCGCACACTTCCTGTCTGTATCTTCACGTCTGCTAGGAGGTCAGTGAAGTATTAGTTTAACTAAAAAACAAACCATACAAACAAAACCCAATGTATGAAATTTCTTTGAGAGTATATTTTCCCTTTTGAAAAGAAACACGTTCTCAGCAGGAATAACGTAAACGTTCCAGGCGCAGCATCAAGGTACCCTTCAGTGGCCTGTTACTTTCTGAGGGAAATATTCCACAGTTACCCTCACGCTCCCCAACACCACCTTCACCTGACAGAGGGAGGCGCGAGCAGGAACATCGGACTGCTCCCCATCAGAGATCCCTGTCTATCACACGCTCGTTTTAAAAAGCGTCGTTTCAGACACCGTACCCCACAGGGTCTCACCTTGTCAAAAGCAGGGTAGACAGCACGGATTTCCGTCAACCAGCCATATGGCATGTGCCCCACGGGGTACGTGGCTGTCAAGATTGCCACTGCCTGCAAGAGGAAAAGGCGGCAGAGTTAGCATCTGCGTCTGCAGGCAGCGTCTGCAGTAGCTGCCGTTGGCCACATGGCAGAACAAGCTGTCTCAGATGGGGCCGCCACGGACAGCTCGCTCCACCCTGGGTGACAAGCATCGGCCAGCCCCGGGGTGGCCTGGGAGCAGGAGGAAGGGGCAGGTGCTCCATGGAGGCTCAGGGAGGGCACCCGAGACCAGGAGGTCGCGTCTTGTTTCACACCAAGTCCAACGAGAAACAGGTCAGGTCCAGAACGCTGGCTCCAGGAGCCAAGATTTCAACCCAGATCCGGACTCTAGAATCTTTGCTCTTTCCATAGAGCCAAACCGAGCCTTCTAGTCTAGCCCAATTCTGGGGTGTCCGAATGTGACTTGGAGCCCTGGGTGCTCTCCGGCTAGTCTTTGCTCAGAATCCACCTCCACGCCTCCAACCTGTCCTGTAGGGTGGCTGAATGGACATGTTTGTTGATAGTTTTATGTGCTCGCCTTCAGACTCAACTCACTTTCAATCCGTTCAGCCAAGGTAGTCCCATTTTGAAAGAAAACTAAATAACTGTTTCTTATAGGAAGCCAACATGTCCCTCATGAAAATGAGTTTCTCTTCTTATGTGAATAAAAAGAAAGGAAATGAAACAGCCTCTACACCTACATTTTGGCAGAGTTCAACTCGCTAGCTCTAGCTAGCTAGCAGAGGAGGAGTGCAGGTTTCATCTGTCTTAATGCACGTAACAGCCATGCAGGGAACACGAGGGAAGCCCTGGCTGGGTGAAGACACTGCTGTGGGGGGTAGGGAGGCTGGAATTAGGGGAGCCTGGAATTAAATCTCCACTTCATCACCTACCAGCTGCATGACGCATGAGCCCTGTCAGGCCTCCCTTTCTGTTCCTCCAGTGGACCAATGAGAGTACAACACCACTGAGCATGGTTCGGGGGAAGTCAATGAAATGTCCACGAAAGCTGACACAGAGGTAGATGTCCAATAAATGTCTGTTCTGTACCCCACATGCTGTGTCTTTATGCCATTGAGGTCAACAGAGAAATGGCTCTCATATAGAAGTAGCCTTATTTTTTTTAAGGGAAAGATGGCATTCTTACACACAGGTGATGGGGGTTACGTACTTTTTACTGGGCAACTTAAACCGTAGTACTTAAGTAAGAAAGCCGCTGTGTTCTAGAAGCCACCCAAGATGACATTCATGATTCAAAAAAAAAACACCAAAATCCAGAACAAATTGAGGCAAGAGAAAGCATTCTGCTTGTGATTTATGTGCTCCTCTTTCCAAGCCAACATGAGCCGCTTCCCAGGACATGGAAACTGGCAGGCGACCCCAGGCTGGAGACGAGCTGACAGACAAGCTGACAGCGCAGGCAAGGGCAGGGCGTAAACAGGAGGCCCGAACGAGCAGCCACCAGCCTTCCCGAAGGATCAGCAGTTCCAGAGACGGAATTAGTTCTCCAGAGGGCCCGCGGAGGAGGAAACACATGATTTGTTCATACCATACTTGAAAGATGGAAAACATGATTCAACTCTGTCTTTGGAGTCGCTGCCAGTTTCCAGGTAAATTTCCTGAGCTGGGAGTGAGTAAATCACAGAGATCCTCATTCGGAGGAGGGCAGGTTGCCAGAGAGCACATACAGCCATGATGGGTTGGTGGTACGCACAGGAGGGCAGGGAAAGTGCAGGGCAGGGCAGGGGGGTCAGAGTGGACGCACTGGCCCTTCACACTCTGGGTGTTGTCACTTCGGCTGCTGCTACCTGGCCTATTCCATCGTCCTCTGAATCTACAGTGAAGAGGCACCCCGCCAACTCCATGGAACCATGCAAAAGCCACTGTGCCAAAGTAAAAAATCTGGATTCTAATACTAGCCCAGCCGCTTGCTGGTTTTGTGTCCTTATCTGTGTGCCCTTGCCTCAGTTTCCTCGTATGGTCACTGAGAAGAATAAATAAAATAATTTCTTCCTTACTCATAAAGATATAAAATTATATGATTATAAGTCACTGAGTGGGATCCTCATGGCTTCCTAGAGCGAACGTGTCACATAGTTTAATATCATAGAATTACTTGAGCTCTCAAGATGAGCTGGAAACAGATGTGCACTCCAGCTCCCCTGCCCCCGTTCGTCACAAGGTGAGCCCGAGTGCCCGCATCCTCGGGGACTGCTTACCTCCGTAGCCGCAGAACTGCCACCAAGGTCCCGGGAAACGAAGAGGTTGACAATAGGCCTACTGATTCTCTGTGTAGCCAAGATGAGAGCCAAAGGCCACCAGAAGCTCAGCATCTTTCTTATTGTTGCATCTCCCTGTATCAAGAAATGGAGAATAAGGTTCACTAAACTCTAGAAATAGAACAAGAAAAACAATTCAGAGTCAAAGCCTTTCCTTTTGATGGCAATCATGAGTCAATGCACTACACTTAAAAATAATATCAGGAATAGCCTCTGTAGACAAGCCAAGTTGAATTGCAATAAAATGTACAGTTAAAATAAAATTAACCCAGACAGTTGGCAAGCTACCGTGAAATCAAAACACACATCCAGCCTTGATGGATCCAAACCACTCTTTTCCAAACAGGGCAACTCTAACCCAAGTAGAACCCAACTCCATGGCTTGAGAAATAGGTTGGAAATTAGTTTTTGTTTAAATCACCAAGGTGACTGGCTAGAAGCCATGTCAGTAAGAGGTAACTCTTAAAAGTAAAAAATTATAATAATTTATTTTGGAATCTGCTCACAAATGTGCCTAATTATTTGGGCACTATATTAATACCATAGAGGTTCTTTTTTTTCCTAAGGAGGTTCTTATTCTCAAAGCTGTAACAAATGTTCAGGAGCATAATAAGCAAAATAAAAGCATGGTAAAATAAAATGTGATCTCTTAAGAATTCTACAGCAAAGACGTGTGGTATCTTTAAAGCCTGGCTTTCACTATTTAACTTTGGATTTGATTCTTCATGAGGGTAAAAGTTACATCCTGGAACCATCCAGCCACTTTATTTGCCTTTGCTGGTGGCTGCATGTTAAGAGGCTGATTTAATGTGGTTGTCCTTGTGACAGAAGTAACTGGATCGGGTTTTACTGGTGGCCTGACCTTGGGTCCAGGTAAGTGGGTAATACAATTATTGGTCTTACATGACGCAAGTTATGTAGTCAGAGGTGGAATCAGCGGGTGGAGGGTGGGATTTATTCAGTGCTATAGAGTATCACGCATACCTGCCTCATTTTGGGTTGTTGGAAAAGTCATGACACATTTTTGCAACGAAAAACATAGAAAAAATACGTCATGACTTTTCCGACAACCTAATAGGCTACTCGTAGATGGAAACAAACCCAAAAGGGATGAAAAGATCAGCACACATATAAACCAGACACTGTTTATAGTTTGATGAAAAGGATGCTTTGGTCTCTTGTGTAAGATTAAACCCTGCTTGTATTTTATTCTGCTTGTGAGGCCCAGGCCAAGCTCTGCCTGCAGCAAGGAGGCGTCTTAGCCCACAACTATCTTCCTTTTTCCCGCTTCGGTGGCTCTTGTGTTCTCACTGCATCTGTGTGCTGTCTTGGGTCCATGTGTGTTGTTTCTGGGTTGGTCTTACCTTCCAAATGGGACATAAAGCTGCTTGAGACCATATTTAAGGTTTTTCTGCATTGCCCTATGGTCCCTCTATGCTCTGCGCATTGCACAGAAGTTACCTGAACGAGTGATTGTGTTTGGCCAGTACAGAAAGTAGGAACAAAGCCTGTGTCCCTGCTGTAACTTAAAAACAATCACGTGTGAGCTCAAAGGTACTATGGGTCCTAAAATCTTTGGCAGTAGTGAGGCAGAAGAGCCATAATAAATGTGTATCGACTCCTGGGCCTCAGACTGGGCCCGAGCCTCCTCACACGGAGGTAAGGCGGCTGGACAGCGACCGCTCAGGTCGCTTCCGTCTCCAGGGTTCATGAATTCTCCAATTGTCTGTCCCGTGGCCACGTCTGGCGCCTGGCATCTTAGAGCATGTGCTTATGACACTGATGCCTCACTTCCTCCAGGGCTGGGGGAAAGCTTTATTCCATGCGACTACGCAGAGGGCTTCGGCGAGTGCTACGGACGTACCCCGAGCTCCGGCCCGCTCCTGTCGGGGATGATGTCGTGGATGTTCCTGTAGTAGCCCAGGCACAGGGTGGCACAGCGCACGAGGGCGCCCATGTACAGGGAGAGGATCGGGATGAGCAGGGGCTCTCTGCACTCCAGGTGACTGTGCAGCAAGATAGCTACGAAAACGACCTGCGAGATGGGAGACAAGGACAAGTCAGAGGGGAGACAACCATCAGAAGCCCAGCCCGCCCTCTTGCACCCAGATGAGACTGAGCTCTGAGCTAAACCCTCGACGTGGACAAGAACGAGAACACGAATTGGGCTACGGCTCAGTGCTGCCGTCACAGGACTCAGGGTCAGACATTTGGGATTCACAGGGAGGGCACACGACGATTTTGTTATATTCACCAGTCAAAGTCTTTTAAGGCAACTGCACTTCTGGTTAAGGTTACTGCTAAGAAGTATCTAGAAACGTGGGCTCCCCAGACCCCAAAAGACGCAGTCAAGCTTTTCCTTCTCGAGGCTGGATACTGAGGTGCACATGTTATCCACACGTGAGGACCTAAGTTATCTTACACACACACTCACACAGACACACACACTCACACGCACACTCACACACACAATCTCACACATACACACAAACCACACACAGACACACACACACACACACAGACACACGCACACTCACACTCACACAGTCATGCACACACACTCACGCACACTCACACACAATCTCACACATACACACAAACCACACACACACTCACGCACACACTCACACACACACACACACAGACACACACACTCACGCACACACACTCACACACTCATACACTCACACACAATCTCACACATACACACAAACCACACATAGACACACACACACACAGACACATGCACACTCACACTCACAGTCATGCACACACACTCACGCACTCACACACAATCTCACACATACACACAAACCATACACACACTCACACACACACTCACACTCACACACAGACACACACACACACACCCCCAGTGGTGATCAATGACGGTATACAGAAAAACAGACATTAGCATTTATAAGATGGAATTCACTAGAAATGCTGCACAAGCACCAATATTATTATAAACCAAGCTAAATTAAAATTAAAAATACTAACTCATAAAAGTGGGAGAGATGAAAAAATAGAGTCAAAATGGATCGAAATAACAACGTCTCTGTAGCAAATGTAATAATGCATTTAACCTCCCGTCCTGTAGAAACACGGCCAGCAGCCCCGCCTCCATCTAGAGTCCTCCTGGGACCCACTCACAAGACCACTGAGGTGTTCTAAGTGCAAAAGCAGGGTAATGGGCGAGGGGGAATATTCCTCAGTAACATCAGCCTTAATGGCCAAGTGTCCATGGAATGATAGGCATGTAAAACACGCCACCACTGAGTGACCCTGCCCAGAGAAGACTTCCCCCGATCACTGTGTTACCGAGAAATCTGCGATGGCAGGAAGTATAAAAAGAAGCTGGGGACCAAGCAGGATTCATTGCAGGAATTTACTCATTGCCAGGGGGGACACAGAAAAGCAGGGTGACCCAGAAAAACTCTTCTCAACAAAACAAGTAGCAGATGCCAGAGGTGATTTGTTTATAGGACAGGCTGACACGTGTGCCCGGGCTGTCATTCTCGAGCCCAAGAAATGAGACAGCCCTGCCATAGATGGAGGGCAGGACAGAGGTACTGCTTGGCCGCGTGGAAACACCAGGCCACCTGCAGCAGAGACAGCGTGAGCAGACCCAAGTTGGGGTGGAGCTCACACTCACAGCAGAACCCAGTGATGGAAGGGAAGACATCCCTGGTGCGCCCAGGGGGACAACTGAAGGATGCAGACACCAGCTTGGAGAAGCCTTGTGAAGAACCCGTCGTGTTTGGAACAGAAGGTTGAGAGTTTTGTGATGGGCCAAGATGCCCACTTATTTCTCTAATGAATTCGAGGCCACTGAGGTGTCCTAACACGCAGATGCAGGCTAGTATGTCTGCAGCAAGCTGAACATCTGACATATACAAACCCACAGTGTACACTGAGAGACTGAAAACACACTGTGAAAATAAACACGTGGAGACCAACCCCTCCTCTGCCAAGTCCAGGAAGCACCCAGGGCGTCAGGACGGCCGTGCAAGACCAAGGAGGAGGATGCGGACATGAAGGATGAGGGAGGTGGGGCAGAGGAGCAGGAGGTGTGGAGATGACAAGAAAATGGCCTGAGGAGCACAGCTGGCCATACACTAGGACAGTTCAGCCAGCAGCGCCCCCAAGGCCAAAGCGAAGTGTGTTTAAGAGCTTGGTGCTATGCAGCTCAATACTTATCGTAGAGCTTACATCTTAGATTGTATCCTTTTATCGTGGGTTGTATCATTTATCAATTTAAAATAACCCTGGGTCTTTGCATTTCAAACCAGAATTATGATTTTTGAATCTGACAAAGCCATCAAAAAATGTCGGATTCCTTTCTGAGGGAAACCTCCAGTCGCAGTGCTGAGGACTCGCCCAGTGAGAGCCTGTTACGTGCTGGCCCCACACCAAGTGCTGGGGATGCCATGATACATGACAGGGTCCCAGGCTCTGTCATCTTGGAGCTGACAGTCTAGAGAAGGAGGTAGAAATGTTAATCAAACAGTGAGGCCAGCGGAGCCTAGTGACAAACTGTGACAAGGCCTATGGAGGAAAAAGGATGGTGACTGTGAGAGCCCGGGCTGTGGGCTGAGGGAGGGCGTCCCACGTGGAAGGTGTCTGAGCTGAGACCTACGGCCTTGGCAGGGGTGGCAGGAGTTGGTGGTAGGTGGGGAGAGCTGGGGCAGAGGGGTACTTGCAAATACCCCCAGTGGGTGGGGGCTTGGCCGCCCCAGGCCCTGAAGGGAGTATGGCTGGGGAGCAGGGAGAAGGGGACAGGAGGACAGCACCCTGCAGGCCACGGTCAGGGTTTTAGCTTTTTATCTCAGGAACACCAGGAAGCTGAGGTGGGGAAGGATGGAGGTGAGTCAGGAGGCATCTCAGGTAGCACAGGTGGGAGGGGGGTCCTTAGACCAGGGCAAGCACAGCCGAGATGGGGAGAAGAGGCAGATAAAAAGCAAATGTCTAGGATTAAATCCAAAAGGCCCGTGATGATGAGGGACGCTCCTAGGGTGGTTCCCAGGTTTCTGAGCAGATGGCAGTGTCATTAATTTGCTCAAAAGCAAAATGCTTGATATGGAAGATACGAATTCAAGCTTAGGGTGCCATGGAGGAACCTAAGTGGCAACATGACAGACACAGTTAGATACCTTGTCTAACGTTCACAGGAGAGAGCTTGGCTACAGGTATTTATTTGGGGATCATAAGTCATGGTATAGATGGTATAAACCTAGGCCATGAAGAAAAGCCTTCATGAAGAGAAATCAGTCTAACCTCCTCCTCTGTGAAGAAATCATCCTCCTAAATCCATGATTGTAGGAACTCTGTCTACTTTACAGATTATAGGAATTATATCTAATTTTCTGCTGAAATTTTTCATGCGGTGTCTTTGGTGGAAGCAGAAAGAAAACAGAAGGGAAAACCTGGGCTGGAGCCAGCCCCCAGGGGACTGGACTCAATCGACAGCGCAATGAACTTCTCAGACAGTGTGTGACTTCCTGGTTCTTTTTAAAGGTGGGGAAAGGACGCGTGAATGGCAGCCTTGCGTGGCAACAGCATTTAAGAATAATTCCTAAGAGCTCTCTCTAGAACTGAGTGACAGGCCATGTATTGCTAGGCCACACAGAGGGCCGAGTGTCCACGCGGCCAAGTGCACAGTGACCCTATGGCCACCCCAACATGGACTAGCTGTGACGTTGGAGTCATTTCGCATGTATGCTCTTTCAACATAAAGATCAACACCTCTGACGCTAACTTTAATTTCCTAAAACCCTCATTCTAGCAAGAGTAGGCATACTTGTGTTACGAGAGTACAAACATTTCTTGACGTCCACATTTGATGTGACTCATGTATGAACACACCACAGGGGGAACGCAGGTCCAGGAGGCACCGGTGGGTTCTGTCACTCACCGGTCTGAGAGCTCTGACCGACACACAGGCCATATTTACCTGAGCTATGACATCGGAGATCGAGGCACATCCCACCAGGAAACTGTATTTGTGTTTTAAGAGGATGCCAGCATGGGTCCATGCCTGCAGGAAGAAAAAGAACTGGGCATGAGAGACATCTTTGGGATTGTACTATTTCTGGTCGTTGGGATTTACTGGGCCTTCCTGAAATAGACGTTATACCCGAAAGCCTTCGTAGCAAGCACAGGTTTGATAAATCTTTGGTTGGTAAAATGACTGTATTTGGTCAGGTGGCTGGCTAGGTCCACGTTAGATTTTTCAGTGGAATCAGTGATGGCACAGTATTTATTTCGTTATATGCAGACTGGTGAACTGGTTAGGGTCAGCCTGGCAGGAAAACTGGGTGAAAAGCAAGAATGGAGTCTCTCTCAGAGCAGTCGGAATCCCAAAGCCCAGCATTCTCTGCAGACGAAGCATGTTCTAATGAGGGCCTTACCTAGGTTCTGAGTCACTCCCCTCATTACAGGTTCTCATTGACTGATTAGGGTTCTACTGTTCCCTTCTCTTCAAGTTTGGGCAGGATATAATCTGACACTTGGTGTCTTTAAGGGAAATTAAGAGGAAGGTCCTTTAAGGGGAGCAGACGACGAAAAGCCCAGGGGACGGAAGGTTTAGAGGTTTGACGTTCACGATAGGCTCTGTTTAAGGACCATCCTTCTAACCTGTAAAGGCGAATCTGAACTGGCCCAGAAATAACATTTCATCTGAGCTAAATAGGTCTGTGTTAAGACTTTACATAGCAGCTGCAACAGCTACTTCCTTCCTCGGCTTGTAGGTCCCAAGGTGCCAAATGTGAAAAGAAATGCAAACTATTGATAACATTTGCAAATAGCAGCTTCTGGGCTATCTTTGTTGACCAAAAGCCACCTGGATAAGCTTTGTGGTTTTCAAATATTATCTCTTCAACCAATATATCGGGGCCATGCTGCAGGTGAGTGTGAGTGTGAGTGTGTGTGTGTGTGTGTGTGTGTGTGTGTGTGTGTGTGTGTGTGTTTGGGAGATGACCTGCTCTTTGTAAACGTTCATTATTTTGTTTTTTATTAGCAGTCTCTTACTTGTGGGGTCTTTGGGGGAACCGATAGATGAAACATGGAAGAAAAGGGTGCTCATCACTCGTGTGCTGGTGTTAGGCTGAGTTTTAGAAATTCTCTCATGGCAAACAAATACAGCTGAGGGGACATGGAATAGAGGCACCTGAGAGTCTGGGATTCACCTGTACTAAGAGTCCGCAGCTCCCTGAATTCACTGTATGATTGTAATTATTCCGTGTGCTGACAGTACAGACGGGTGGGCAGGCTCTAGAGCAGTACCTTGGACTCTGCCTAGGAAGTCAGACTTTTCCTCTCCTGCGATGTGAAAAAGGGCACTTCATTCCGTTCTCTCACTAACTTGAAAGCACTGTGGCGCCACCGTGAGCCGGCACGGACACCTCAGAGTCTGGTTCTATGGACCCCAACCCTTTTGCCTGTCTCTTTTCTGGGTATGTGCCAGAGCCATTACACCTGGCGATGAGAAAAAAAGACAATCCAGGTGTAAGTGTCCTGAGCGCCAGGTTCACCACTTAAAGTGATGTCACAACAATTGAGAACCAGAACCTTCGCATCAAAGCTAAGAGTTTAATACTTAAGGCTACCCTGCGAACGGGTGGGTAGCCGTCAGAGCCACTGAGAACATGTCAGTAATCTAACTACAGGCAAACTAAGACTTCTGATAATATTTGAGAAGATGGGCCACGTACACTTTTACCTTGCCTCATTCTTCCGTGGATTTGGGGCTGCCTCCCTCACCTCAGTATGGACGCCCACTTACCTCACATGTCTAATGTATACAGAACTTGAGGTGGAAATGGTAAAAAAAATCTGTGCTGATTCATATATTTTTAAGTCTCCTTCCTTCCATGGGTAATTTAAAATGAAGCCCAAAGAAAGGGCTTATTTTACAGCATTAGACATGACTGGGAATACTTGTTTTGTTAAGTCTTCTGTGTCTATAACACAGATGAATAGAAAAAAAAAAAGCATTGTCTGAGAACTCTTTGGTATCATGACAAAGAATTTAATCTGTGGAAGTGAGTCGCTCTTAGCAAATAACCAGGTAAAACTGGTTATTAAAGCAATGAAATCCTATCAGTATAGTCAAGAGATTCTTACTCTAAAAAGCTTCGGGTGTTTATACCACACAAGTGGTAAGTTTACCAGAAAGCTATCCCAATCCCTTTATCCTGAATATATCAGAAAAGGGCTTTATATTTGAATCAAATTTCTCAAATCGGCTCTCTTGCTGCCTGCCAGAACTCATAGCAAATATAGACAGTTCTCATAAAATAAACGGACACGTTGGGCTGGTTCAAAGCCAACGGTCAATTGGAACCCTTCTGACTGCTGGATGTGAAATGGTGAAGCCAGTATGGAAATCAGTCTTGTGGTTTCTCAGAAAGTTAAACAGAGAATTACTATATGTTCTAGCAATTCCACTTCTGGGTATGTGCCCCAAAGAATTAAAACAGAACTCAAAGAGATTATTTGCATTCCCAATAGTTGATAGCAATATTACAGTAGCCAAAAGGTGGAAGTAACCCAAATGTCCACTGATGGAAGAATGGAGAAACAAAACGTGATATATACATGCAACAGAATATTACTCGGCCTTGAAAAGGAAGGACATTTGGACACCTGCTACAACATGGATGAGCCTTGAAGACATCATACAAAGTGAAACAAGGCAGTCACAAAAAGACAAATACTGTTATGATTCCACTTCATAGGAGGTACTGAGAGTACCTTAAGTTCAGAGACAGAAAGGAGCAGGGTGGTTGCCAGGGGCTGGGGAGAGGGGATGGGGAGTCAGTGTTTAATGAGGACAGAGTTTCATTTCCACAAGATGAAACGAGTTCCGAAGATTCACAACCATGTGAATGTAATGTACTTCACGCCATTGAACTGTGTACATAAAAATGGTTAAGGCGGTAAAATTTACATTATGTGTATTTTAACACCGTTAAACCAAAAGCCAACAGTCTTCTCTCCTCACCATCGCATCCATGAAAGGGAAGGCCGCGAGATACAGGAAGGCTCTTCTGGTTTTGCTCCCCACCGACTCATCCACATGGTGTAGCTTGTTGATGATGTAGTAGCCTAAGTCACTATAAGCTGCAAAGGTGAAAAACAGTACATGGTGACATTTAGAAAAAGCTATCTCTATGCTTTTTCTCTCAAGAAATTAGACAATTTTAGACGTAATATTTGTTGTTTTGGTTTTTTTTTGTAGAAAAATAAGAAAATTTAGATGAGCCAAAAGAAGAAAATCATCTACAATCTCATCCTTCTACCCAGAGGGAAGGTCACAGTGAACACTCTTGGCTCTAAGCGCCCAGTTCTTTTATGAGGGTGTGTGAGGTGGGTGTGTCCATGGGATGGGTGTGTGTGTGGGATATGCATGTGTGTTTTTTTTTTATTAGTTTCAGGTGTACAAAACAATGTAATAGTTAGACATTTACACCCCTCACAAAGTGATAACCCCCTCCCCCAATTTACTATCCCTCTGACATGGTATATAGCTGATACAATTCCATTGACTCTATTCCCTATGCTGTACTCCACATCCTGTGACTATGTATATATTTAATTACAGTTGACATTCATTATTATCCAGCTTCAGCTTCAGGCGTACACTGCAGTGGTCAGGCATGCATGTGTGTTTTAACAGAAAAATAGGATCACACGGTATATACGAGGTCTGACAATGAAGTTCACGACCTTGTCACAACGATGTTGCTAACCTTTCTTAATATCAGAGGGATTATTCATTATGAATTTGTACCAACTGGACAAACAGTTAACCAAGTTTACTACTTGGAAGTGCTGAAAAGGCTGCTTGAAAAAGTTAGACGACCCGAACTTTTTGCCAACAATTCATGGCTCTTGCATCACGACAATGCACCAGCTCACATGGTACTATGAACACCTTTCTATGACCTGCTTCTAAGTTTTAATGGTTGCACTAGATTTCTTTTTGTAGGTTCACTTAGTATCAACTTAATGTCCTATTAGACATTTAGGTGGCTTCCATTATTTTGATATTATAAAAGAAAGCTTGATGGGTAGGTTCGAAGCTAAGTGCTTACACATATTTTTAATTATTTACTGAGAGAAAATTCCTAGATGTTACCATGGCTTTTCAGTAAAAAGTTTAAAGCTAGCTTTACACCACTTGCCATTCTTTTTGTTTCATTTTTGGGGTGGAGCATGGCAACTTTGGGGATAGCCCTACCCAGTGGAAAACAATCTCTCTGAAGTGCTTTCTGAGTCCCTCCTACATGAGGATTTGTGATCACAGTGTGACTGGGACATGATGGGCACTTAAACATGAGCTGAATGAAGGCCTAGGTGCCAAATAGATGGAAAGGAAGAAAGAGAAAGGACTTTCTAATGTATTAGCAAGGCATTCCGACAGATATTAGTAAAGGTGAAATAAAATTTTAAGTTGTTTCTACCTCATTAATCCATGTTTAGACTATACAGGAAAATAACCATCTATGTGTTTTTTGTTACGTTTTACCTAGTACTTTAATTAGCAGTGTTCCTGCTGCTTTCATTCTTTCATAAATATGAATGTTAATGTACTTGAGAACTACAGAATCTGCTTTAAAATCAGAAAGGAGCTAGAATGCAGCGAGAGTCTCACTTTATGACAAATAATAAGAATCCCTCCCTCCATATCAAAGCTTTATTACTTTAACTGGTAAAAAGAAAGGACTCTCCGTCCTCTGTCAGAATTAGTCTTGAATTATGGGAGGTCCTCGGTATGATATCAAGGAGGTTTAAGTGCACAGATGGGAATGCCACTGGGGGCAGAGGTGCAAGAAAGTGATTTCAAGGGGAAGCGGGCAGGAAGGCCTAAGGTGTGCAGAGAACAAGGGGGAGCGGGGAGGCAAATGCAGGAAGACAGTGCCGAGTGGCAGAGGGGAAACAGAAAGGGGAGCTGCCAGGTAAGCAAAGGTGTCAGGTGTGGACTGTGGTGGGGCCAGCAGGGCCACTCAGGCACCAAGAAGATACACCCAGGAGGGATGGTGTCACCTGGCAGAAAGAGAAGGACCTGGGGAGGTGGGGTTAGTTACGGCAAAGGGCAAGCAAGAAAGGAGGCAGCTGCGATGTTCCTATTTGGATCGGAAGGCACACAGGTGAAAGTGAGTTAGAGATGGCTCCACCCGAGGCATTCAGACCTGAGATAAGCGGACAGAAGCAGAAAGCCAGGGTGAAGATGTTACTTTATCGTACAAAAGGTCTACTCTAGGTGCCGAACCTTGGGAATTGTGTCTTAAAGTGTATTGCTGCTGCTGTTTATTTGTGCATTTGTTTTCATTCAGTCAGGAAGTGTTCACTGATTGTGCTGGGACCTGCAAGGAGGCGGTCCTGACCCGGCCCACACCGGCGCCGGGCCCTGGCAGAGGCTGCTGGCCATGGGAACGGCAGCCATGCTGGGCGAGCAGAGCAGTGCAGTGCCACGCGCAAGAGCCCAGGGTCGGCTATGACTAGCTCATGAGGTAACATTCCCTGGTGAGGGTCAGGGCTGATATAAGAGCCCAGCTGAGTGGACTTGACTGCATAACCGAAAATGGGGTCCACAAAACTGCTGAAAGGCTGAGCTCTAGAGCGTGGTGCTATGTTGAATCCTAGTCTCAAAACTCCTATGTTGAATCCTAGTCTCCAGTCCTCAGAATGAGACCTGATTTGGCCACAGCGTCATTTCAGCCGTGATTAGGTACGGTGCGGTCACATGGGAGTGAGTGGGCTCCTAATCCTTCATGGCTGCAGTCCTTCACACTGGGACAGATAAACGTGCACAGGGGTAACGCCAGGTGAACCTGAAGGCAGCGAGCAAGGTGATGCCCACAAACCAAGACGCCAGCAAGCCGCCAGAGGCTGGCGGAGGGGACCGGGACAGTCTCCCTCATGGCCTGAGAAGGGACCAGCCCTGCCGACACCGGGACCTTCCAGCCTCCAGAACCGAGACAACCAATGTCTGTTGTCTGAGCTCCCCGGTATGTGCTACTTTGTTAGGACAGCCCTAGCAAACTCATACAGGAAACTTCTGAGAAACCGAGAGAGAGAAGTATTTTCCCAGGAGACTTTGGGGCAGTGGCAAGAAAGATGGGACGTGTGAGTTTGAGCTGTTGAGAGCAGGGCACGCAGTTTGCTTATATGGCCTGGGACTGTAGAGATCAATATAATAAGCTTTTCTATACTCTATAAATATCCCTACATATGTTAGAATATTTTAACTAAAATGTCAAAAACAGTGCCTTTCCGCAGAGTCATGAAGGGCAAACATTTCAAGTTCAGCAGGGTCTGGAGGACTGACTTATGGGTGGTGAGCCCAGCACAGCTTCCTGACTCTGCCAGGGTGTGTCCCCTGGCCCTGTTTTTTTTGGGGGGGCCGGCAGCTGATGCTGGGTTCTTCGGGCGTCCCAGGTTCCAGGGTACGCTGGGCCCAAGGCTGCCTTTGGTTCTCTTTCTTTTTTTCCTCTTTCAGCTACCAGAAAAATTCAGAAGCTGAGGAAAGCTTTTTCTCCCGTTTTTTCCCCCCGCTTTCTTTCCTTCCGTCTGCTCCTCCCCTACAGGGCAGAAGAGTCTGATTATAACTACAAAGATTGTTTTTCCACCCTGTGAGCTGGGAAAATAAAATCCCAACAGCTGGTTTTCACCCTGTCTCCCCTCCCTTCCATCCTGTGCCCTCCAGCTGTTTCTGGCAGGAGCTGCTGGCTGGGGGTAATTTGTTTAAAGTGCTTTGCACATTGAGTCCATAATTACCAGGTTAGCCGCCTTAACAACGTTTAGTAACCTTCAGCTTCTATCAACTGCCTTTCCAAGATTGCTCTGAAAAAGCTAGTATTCTTTATGAAGGGCAGAACATTAAAAAGACAAATTAGGCAAGGTTTTTGATCAGATGATGTAAAAGGCTTTCCTACCGTGGCTGCAGTAAAGAGGACGCAGTATGAGGTCAGATGACTGACCTATTTACAGGTCGACAGCTCTGACCCCACCCAAACAGGGAGAAGCCAGAACGGCCACTCGAATCCCCAGCTCCCCTGACCTCAGCCCTGCAGGGTGAAGGACCCTTTCCAGAATTAGTGGTTCTCAAGTTTGTTCATCCAGCAGTCATTAGCACTTGTCGCAAAATACCGTAAAATATGAATGCTAACCAAAACAAGTCTAGATACCTGTATTTTCTGAATTACCTGAATCCAGGAGAAAGCCCTCCTCCCATTTTCATAACAGGATAATACGTGTATTTCCAAGAGGCAAAGTTGAGAACCCTTACTCTAATTGAAATTCCCAAGTTCCCATGCTTAAAAGTCTCACTATTGATTGGCCCACTCTGTTCGGTTTATTAGACTTTTCACTGGGATGGGCAGCTTCACCCCTGTGCTTCTAATGTATCATTTCCAAAGTGTGTGGGTTTGTATGGCTGGTATTTAAATCACTTCAATATAAATGGCTGAATGCCTTATACATGTCAGGCACCATGCCAACTGACCCAGCGGTGAGGAGGCTGGGTCACAGACATATGAGATGCTCACCTATAATCTGCACTGTGCAACATTTATCTGGAGGATACGGGCACGGGAGGTACAAACATTGCCCAGGACTTGGAGAGATATCATAAACCCATGCACAAGGTAGGACAGGTAAATGTGAAACTTGAACACAAGGACACAAGTTCTATCTCATTGGTATCAAGACCTGGTAGAATGGGGTTTGCAATGATTTACTGTGTAATATCTGCTTTTCTCTAGAAAGCACACCTTAGTCATGTCTGAATTTCCAGGAGCTAGCCCGGTGTTCGCCACATAGAAGGTGTTCAATATATGTTGACTGAATAAATGCAAGAATCTGTCACCCACAAAGAGGTGAATTCTTCTTTCCTCCTTACATCCCAGTCTGCAATGTGATTTTGTAGCTCCTCCTGTCAAAATTTGGAGTCTAATTCCCAACGCCTGAACCTGGGCTGGCCTGTGATTTTGTCTTGGCCAGTAATGTGCCGTGGCAGTGATGGCGTGCCACTTCTGATTCTTGGCCTCCAGGGACCTTGTGTGCCCCATTCCTCTCACCTGGAGCACTGCCACAGCCATCTAAACAAGTTCGGGCGA